CCGCTGAGGTATGCGTAGGGATGTCGCGTCGTCCTTTTGTGATGTGCGGCTGGAACGTTGTGGTGCTGTGTCGGTGGGTGCGGATGCTTGGAGGAGCGGGACTCCGATATGTTTGGCGAAGTCCGACATGTCAGCAGGGTAGTGCAGGGTATAGGCTTGATTGTCCTTCCGGACCATTAACTTGAACGGGTGGCCCCATGTATATTTCCATCCGTGCTGTAACAACGAGGCGGTGAGGGGTTTCAGTTCCCTCCGTTTTCGCAGGGTTGTGGGCACCAAATCTTGAAAGAACTGCAGCTGCTGCTCCTGGTGTGTCGGTGGGTTGGAGCGGGCCGCCGCCATCAGCTTTTCTTTGGTGGTGAATAGGAGCAGTTTCACTATTACATCTCTCGGTGAAGCTAGATTAGGCGTGGGGGGCCGCAGTGCTCTGTGTGCCCATTCTGTGGTTAGGTCGTGGGCTGCTGCGTCTGGGAGGAGGTTGCGGAAGATCTCTTGGACAGTAGTGAGGACGGCCTCCGGTGGCACTGATTCTGGCAGACCACGGATCCTGACGTTTTTCCGGCGAGATCTATTATTGAGATCTTCCAGGCCATCTTCCAATTGCACTATTCTGTCCTGCATGGTGAGGAGTTCTTGCCATTGGGAATGCGTTGTTTGGGACAGGTCCCTGATGTCTTGCTCGGCCTGCGTTGCGAGGGTTGTGAGCGCGTCGATGTCGCCCTTAAGGCCCGCCATCTGTTTCTCCAATTCCGCCGCAGTGTAGGCTTTGATGTCCGCGGACGTTTCCCTGAGGAGTTTCCTCAGGTTGCCCATCGTGATGGGTGCGGAGGAGTCCTCTGGCATCTCACTGTCATCCGAGTCGGAGCCAGATTGCTGAGTGTTCGGGGCCGAAGATGGCCGCCCCTGCTCAGAGGCGCGAAACAGGGTGGCCACCGACGGCGTGTGCTCCCTCCGTTTTATATTGCCTCCCATGGTGGGAAAATGTGAAGGGTTGAAGTAGAAGGGGATATTGGATGTTTTCAGGGATGGATGGCTTTGCTTGATCGTAGATGGAAGCCGATGGTAAGCTCAGGGGTGAGGGAGCTCAGGGATTACACGTCCATCTTGGTCAGTGGTTAGGCTCCGCCTCCTTTTTTATTTATTTTTTATTGAAGTAAAAGGAACTTCTAAACTAATGCAGAAAACAAACCAAATCTATATCCACATTGAGTCCTTTAGGGGTAAGGGTTTATAATTTGTGGATCCAATATGTCTAACATCGTTCCAGTTTCTTTTCCCCATCCCCCCCCCCTCCAATGTAGTGAAATTATTTCAATACCTACAGTAAGGTCCTTCGATTTAAAAACTGGACAAGAGTTGCAATGGACCAGAACAGAATGTGACATCAGTCCCTTCTTGATGTTATTAAAATGTTCCATCGTTCTTACTTTTAAGGCTCTTTTTGTAGGCCCATATATTGCTTGCCACAATAGTGCAGTAGATACACCACATAATCCGTGAGGCAACCAACACTGGCCTTAATAGGAAAACATTCCCTGTTGCCCCAGATGGAATGGGAAGCTCTGCCTAAACACACTGTTGAGCAAGCTTTGCACCTGCTTCACCCTTTAAAACCCTTCTCTCCATTAATTGATTCTTGCTTTTTTTAATGGCATAACTAGGAGCCAAAAAAGTTCTTTTTTTTTTTTTATAAATAAATGTTGGTTGTTTTGGCAATGTTTTTCCCAATATTGGGTCCTCCAATAAAATTGGCCAATATTTTTGCGGACCTTTTTTGATCTTCCAATGATCTGTGTTAAACAAATGCACATCTAAATTGATCTCCTGAATTTGTTATGGTTTGCTTATCCATTAAAAATTCATTCCTATCTCTCCTTGACATAATATTAATTTCCTTTCCAGTCGTATTTTTATTATAACCCTTCTTTACAACTTTTTAAAGGACCACTCTAGGCACCCAGACCACTTCAGCTTAATGAAGTGGTCTGGGTGCCAGGTCCAGCTAGGGTTAACCACTTTTTTCATAAACATAGCAGTTTCATAGAAACTGCTATGTTTATGAATGGGTTAAGCCTTCCCCTATTTCCTCTAGCGGCTGTCTCATTGACAGCCGCTAGAGGCGCTTGCGTGCTTCTCACTGTGGAAATCACAGTGAGAGCACGCCAGCGTCCATAGGAAAGCATTATGAATGCTTTCCTATGTGACCGGCTGAATGCGCGCGCAGCTCTTGCCGCGCGTGCGCATTCAGCCGACAGGGAGGAGAGAGGAGGATCGGAGGAGGAGAGCTCTCCGCCCAGCGCTGGAAAAAGGTAAGTTTTTACCCCTTTCCCCTTCCAGAGCCGGGCGGGAGGGGGACCCTGAGGGTGGGGGCACCCTCAGGGCACTATAGTGCCAGGAAAACGAGTATGTTTTCCTGGCACTATAGTGGTCCTTTAATGTGCTGCGCCTGTTGTGTATAATCTTGGATGTGTGAACAGTTACGCCTCACTCTCTTTAGCTGTCCCTTGGCTATCCCTTTAAGCCACGGTTGGTGGTGACAGCTTTTTTTGTGGACGTCACATAACTGTTACCATCTGTGGGTTTAAAGAAACATTTTGGTTTAATTTGCCCTTCTTCACTGAAAAGGGTAATATCCAAAAAAATTATTTATTTTTGGTTCCAAACTGGTGAAAACCGTAAATTATATTTGTTGGAATTTAGATAGTCTACGCAATGTTGAAATATTGTATCTGATCCCCTCCATATAATTAGAACATTGTCTATGAATCTGCACCAGAGCACAAGGTTTTCCCTCCAGTCATGTCCAGACTACACAAAAAGATCTTCCCATCTCCTCATGTAGGTGTTGGCATAACCGTGGGAAAAGCTGGTGCCCATGGCATTCCCTGTGGTTTGCAAATAAAAATACTATTCAAAGAAAAAACAATTGTGCTCCAAAATAATCTGTACTGCCATCAAAATAAATGTTTTCATATAGTCTGATCTAACCTTATCTTGGCTCATAAAAAAAATCTATGGCTTCAAGTCCTAGATTATTGCTAATGACTGTATATAGTGATGCCACGTCCAACGTGGCCCAACTATATTTATCCTGCCATTCCAGGTTTTCTACTTTCTGTTAAAATGATTTTGTATCTTTAATATATGATAAAGCATTCTGTGCATATTTTTGTCATTAAGGGTCTACAAAGGAAGATAAATTAACAGTAATGGAGTCTATACCGCGATTGATAGGATTGCCTGGTGGGGTCTGAAATTTTTTGTGAATTTTAGGTATGAAATAAAAAATTGGGGTCACGGGATGTTGACAAAATAGAAAATTAAAATTATTTTGAGAAATGACCTCATCTGTGTTTGCTTTCTGTAACAACTGTTTTAATTTAGAATTAAACAATAGTGTGGGATCCCTCTCTAATTTTCTATATATTTTTAAATCACCCAAAATATTATTGGATTCTTTTAGGTAGTATTCAAGGGACATTATTACAATCCCCTCCCACTGTCTACATCTTTGATAACAATATCTTCTTTGGCGGCTAGATTTTTTCAATATGATACTCTCCTCCTTTATTAAATTTTGAGTTTGTTGGTTTCTTATATTGTGAACCCTGTGAACTTTTAAAATTCCTTATCTACCATGTTTTCAAAGGTTTCTATGTGAGAACCCCTTCTTTGCACAAGAAAAAAAAACTTGATTTGGGTTTAAAAACAGTCAAGTTTGAATTGAACTTCATGATCATTCGAAATTGGATATTTAAGAAAATGTCTCTTTACTGTTAAAGATCGAATATATTTTTTAAACCAATATATAAATTAAAATCGTTTGCTTTCTGACTTGGGGCAAATCTCATTCCCTTTTGGAGGAAAGACGAGACAGGGGGGTATGATCGAAACATTTAAATACATAAAGGGAATCAACACAGTAAAGGAGGAGACTATATTTATAAGAAGAAAAACTACCACAAGAAGAGGACATAGTCTTAAATTAGTGGGGCAAAGGTTTAAAAATAATACCAGGAAGTACTGCTTTACTGAGAGGGTAGTGGATGCATGGAATAGCCTTCCAGCTGAAGTGGTAGAGGTTAACACAGTAAAGGAGTTTAAGCATGCATGGGATAGGCATAAGGCTATCCTAACTATAACATAAGGCCAGGGACTAATGAAAGTATTTAGAAAATTGGGCAGACTAGATGGGCAGAATGCTTCTTATCTGACGTCACACATTCTATGTTTTAAGTAGATGGATTTCCTGGTCAGATAGTGGTGCTCCAGATAAATTAAAAATCCCTTTTTCTACTTCCCTAGTCGGCAAACTTATTCCCTTCTCTGAGGGTTGGGGTGATTCTGTTGAGAGAGGGGCAAAACGGTTGGGGTGTTCCCACTTCTCCTGGTTTGAAGTAATTAGTGATCATTTTTTCCTTTAGGACTCTTGTTCTCCCGATAAAATTTCCCTCATTACCATTGTGCCAGGTCGCCTGGCACCCCGACCGGATACCTCCGTTAATCGCTCTTTCCTAGTACTTGCGAGCACCATAAGCACTGTACTGGAACACCATAACCACCGTAAACCTCACGAACCGCCACAGCTTGGTTGGGGTCTCGCTGTCCTCCACCCACCATGGACCCAAGACCAGGATTCAGCTTTCAGTGGGTAGACCTCTCCTAGTCCAGAGAGCGTAGCAAGAACAGCTCTTATAACAGCTAGTGATTATACTCAGGGAAGTATTGTGATATAGCAATCCCCAGAGTGAATGTAGTTCTTCAATCCCCCAAACATTAGCCAAGACTTCATGATGGTGTAAACAAATATCAGTTTAATGGGAGCCACACTTGGCCTTATATGACAATCCCCATGCATGTACGCCCACATGGACCTGATGGTAGACTGATTTACAACGTCACAGACCAATAACAATATGGTTACAAGGCACGATACTCCCACACAAACATACAATCCTTCCCCTCTGCCTGGGAGATAATTGGATCAGTAACTGTACAAATTCTAATCCAATTATCTCCAAGCACAGAAAAAAACATACAAAACCTACAAATATTACATCAGTGAATGATGACATTGATGTGGCCCTGTGTTCTGTCTCCTATGCATCATTCGACCAATCGGTCGAGTTGGTTCGGTGGGCAGGACGTAGAGCGTTGATGGCAAAAGCTGATGTGGAATCAGCTTTCTGATTGCTACCGATCCATCTGGATTGTCACCATCTGTTAGGTTGCTCGTTTGACTGGGTTTATTTTGTAGACCTTTGCTTGCCTGTGGGCTGCTCTATTTTATGTTCCTTCTTCGAAAAGTTTAGTTCATTCTTGCAGTGAGTGGTGAAGGAATAGTGCATGTTCAGGCAGCACCCCATGCCCTGTCAGTGAATTAACCTCAGTGACACTGGCTGGAATTAAAGCACCCACCACCTATAAGGACAGTCACTCTGTCTGTCAACCACACTCTCCCTGACCCTCTTCCAGGATTGAGGCTGGCTGAGCATCATGAGCAATGCAGTTCACAAACACCAGAATTTGCAAGCTCTGTCCTCTGACCTCACAGCAGACTGCAGGTCTGTCTAACTACGCAAGACCCATCTCAAACTTTCTACAAGCTGTGGATCACATGACTTTTTTTTTTTTTTTTTGGTACAGTACAGTCCCCCTCCCTCCCTTATCACTTGGTACGCTCCTTCTCGCAGTGTGCGCGCGCGCGCCCACCCCCCCCCTCCCCGAGCGCTTGGTACGCTCTCCTCCTCGCTGCGCGCTCCCTCGCTATGCTCCTCCCCGCCGCGCGCTCCCGTGCAGCCTTTGCGCGGGTTATCCTGTCGGGGTCGCGCTCGTAACTTCTCGCGCGGAAAAATCTGAGGAGGCCAGCGGGGAGGCGAAGCTGCGCGTGTCGTTATAATATTAGTGTTATTTTTATTTTTTTTTTATTTTTTATTTCTTCTTCTGACTTTCCGTCCAGTTCGGACCAGCAGCTGTCACGGCAGTCCCTGCACTATGAGGAGTGAATAGTTAGCGGCAGGCAGGAAGTGGAGGACATCCCCCATATCGGGTGAGTGTCCGGTAACGGCAGCCTGGAGTCACCCTGTCACTGACATAACTGGCCAGCCTGCCAGGATACTGTGCAACTACATCTCCCATGATGCTCAGCCTGCTGCAAGGATGGCTGAGCATCCTGGGAAATGTAGTTCAAGTGTAGCTTTCACTCAGTCCAAATTGTGAGTAACATCCTACCACAATACACAACTTCCCCAACCTAGGGCCACCTGCTCACCTATAGAGGACTGGCTGGCTCTGGGACTACTCTGTACCATTATTATTATTATTATTATTATTGATATTTTATATAGTCTTACAATATTCCTCAGCACTATACTTACATAGAAATTAGTAGTTATATATGCTGACATTTAAAAAAAATAAATTAGCCTTTTGTATCTGTTTCTGCTGTTAATCCAAAAGAATGTGGAAAAACGCAGTTTGTGTTCCATCAGGAAGGAAAGACAAACAAATCCAAAAGCGTGATTTAAAGGGTTACTCCAAGCACCATGACCACTTCACTGATTGGAAGTGGTCATGGTCACGGTGTATGTGCAGTGTTTCACCTCGAAATGCTGCATATACCGAGTTTAACCTCTTGAGTAACTCCACCTCTGACAGCGTCATATGGGTGTTATTAGCTAGCCCAGGAGCAAGAGTTCCAGGCTGGCTAATGTAAAATTGATATATAATTTATTTTCCATAGTGTGCCATACTTTGTCTTAGTGACCAGCTGATGCTCTCATTCCACATTCCCCAACAGTTATTTTTCCAGTTCTGCTCATTTGTCAACAAATTATATTCCAATTCCCTTTTTACACTTCCACAATATCCTGTTTAGTGAGTAAACCCCTACACAATATACATGTGCTGTCTATTTAAAGTGGCTCTAAACAATCTTTTGTTTGGTGCAAAATGAGGGTTTAATTAGGATGTTTCAATTGCATGAAAAATAATAAAAGGCTTTCTGCCTACCTTTTCTCTATGTTTACACCTGTGTCATCCCAGAAAACACCCTGCACCTCTTAACAGTGGATAATTTGTGTAGAATAGATAAACTGATATGGTATTAAAAATACTTACTTTTCACTTAGTTAAAATGCCTCCCCGAAAAAGGAGAAAAAATGTCTCTGAAGAATCTGATTGGCAGTGCTCATCAAAAGAGGATGCCGGGCCCGAGGGCAGTTCGGACGATTTTCCAGGAAGGAAGATTGGTGTAGAAAACCCGCTTATCGTAATTTCTGACAGTGAAGGAGAGGTATGTAATTTGAAAGTGACGACAAATACTTAGCTGTGTATTTAAAAAAACAAAATAAAAAAAAACAACCTACTTTGATATCCATATTGTAAAATGTAGGGAAAATAGCCATACTGTATCTATAGTAAAGTTATTTTGACATATGTTTAGCTTTTTGGTTTTTAGTTAATTATATTAATTGTTTGATAAATTAACCTTGTAATTCTAAAATGGTTTCCAACTTTAAAGTCAATCTTCTAAATCAGTGGTTCCCAACCCAGTCCTTAAGCAACCCCTAACAGTCCAGGATGTAGAGATTACCCAGTTGTGTCTAAGGCATTTCGGCTTCCCTGGGCCGCATTGAGCAACGAGGAAATGTCTTGGGCCACACATCAAATATATAATATAGTTAATGTATATACATAAAACTTTAAAAGCCCTCTTCTTTATTTTCAATTGTTTACTAGATAACTCACTTATGTGGGATTACCATGTGTAAGGATACCAAATTAGGGAACTATCTACTAAACACATACCCATGTATGTACATATGCACACATAACCACATATATACACACTGTGATGGTGTATGTATGTGACTGTCTACATCTGTGATTATGTATGTGATTGGGTCTATGATTGTGTGTGTGTGTTTAATCACACACATACACTCACAGACCTATACACACAATCACATATATACACACGCACACAATCATAGACTCACAGACACACACACACACACACACACACACACACACAGACCTATGCACACAGTCACAGACGACCACAGATACAGACCCCCATACAATATACACATACAATAACAGACCTACACACACACATAATCACAGATATACACACATGAAATCACAGATCTGTATCTGTAGATCCCATACATCTACACTAGACGCATACATACATAAAAATCACATTCACACACATTTAGTAATTAAGAAGTCCACCCAGCCTCCCTACCTTGTTCTGGGAGGGCTGGGATGGATCCTCAGTCCATAGTTGCCAGGCTGCTGCTGGGCTGGGATCTCTGTGCTCCTCCTGCACAGATCCCTTTCACACTCAGTAGTGATGCCGAAGCCGGGATGACGTCATATCCTGGCTGCCGGCTCACTACAGGGCACGCGAGGAGGAAGAGCACAGTAAGTCAAGTGCTCCCTGCTTCCCTCGCCGTGTGGCAACCGTTCCGCATTACTAGCGGTTTCCGGGCCGCCAGTTCGACATGCCTGGTCTAAGGTATTTTTATAAAGGGGAAAAAAACAAAACACTTTAGATACAACAGGGTAATCCCTAAATCCTGGACTGTTAGGGGGTACTTGAGGAATGGGTTGGGAACCACTGTTCTAAATGCATTAATTCAATGCATCTCTGTAAGGAGATGGTGATTGGCACGGTGCAGCGTTTTGCCGTGCATGTGCAATAGCCTCCCAATGCTTTTCTATTGGGTTGATGATCTCAGCCATGGAAGTGGGGCCAGCCTTGGCAAGACCGGCACAGTGTGGGAGAAAAGGTGAGTGAAATCTTTTTACTGAGATCGAAGGGGGTCAGTAACTAAAACATCGCAATAAGGACTTTAGTGTCTGCAATATTCTTTGTATTCTTGACACTTTATTGTTCCTTTAAATTTTAAATTAATTTTGAGTTTTTACTTTGGCGAATAACTTTGTTTGAGTGGAATAGAATGGGAGAACCATACCAGCTATTTGTAGGTGTAAATTGTGCACATATCATAAAAGAGTGAAGTGAAGTTACACAACCTTGTTTTATTTGTTAATTTTGAGAGCACTATGTGTGATGATATGAGTTTTGTCAGTCATTTTACATTAATGTATAGGTCAGGGGTTCCCAATTAATTTTTCCCATGGAACCCTTTGACATAGTGTATCAACATCTGACGCACCAATACACCGATACACACACCTTGACACAGTGTGTATCTGTGTGTCAAGGTGTGTGTATCTGTGTTTGTATGTGCCGGTGTGTGTCAAGATGTGTATATCCGTGTTTGTATGTGACAGTGTGTGTATCTCTGTGTCAGTGTGTATCTGTGTGTGTGTGTATATGTATCTTACACACACACACACACACACTGGCACATAGTGACACACAGATACACACACCTTTACACTCAGATACACACTGACACACACATCTTGACTCACAAATACACACACATGCACATACAAGCACACTGACATGCACATACAAGCACACTGACATGCACACTTAGGTACACACAGTGACACATACACAAACCTTGACACACTGATACACATACACTCTCACTGACTAACACACACACTCTTTTACAGACACATACAAACACATATACATTCTCACTGACACACAGACTCCCTGAAAAGCACGCATACACTCTCACTGACAAACACACATATAATCTTTGACAGAAACAAAAACATACAAACTCTCTTACAGACACACATACAATTTTTAGTTTAAAAAAAAATTTTTACTCCACCCAGCCCCCTACCTTTGGGAGTGCTGGCATGGAGTCTTTGTCCCATTGGCCCAGTGGGGCTGCAGGGCTGAGCGTGCGGTCCCTGGGATCTAGTGGGGCTGCTGGCTTGCGGGGGCGCCGAGGGAGCAGTGATCTCCCTGTTCAGCTTCCTTGTGCGCCTCTTAGTTATGTTGGAGTGATGTAATATTCTGGCTCCAGCATCACTGCTGTGCGCGCGCGGGAGGGTACTGAGCGGGGAGATCTCTGCCCACTGCTCCCTCGCCGCCCGTGGCCATTTTAGTTGTGAAAATTTTTGCGGAGCCCTAATTGTGTTCTCGCGGAACACCAATTGGGAAACGCTGATATAGGTGAACATTAATGTTTAACAATTATCTTTTATATTAACTAAATGCAAATAACTAACTCATCTCCACATTTCACAGAGAATATGCAATGATATTTGAAATCTAGAGATATATTTAATTAGCAGTTTAGTGAATTTAAAATATAATTGCAAAATTTAGGATGTTGTAATTGGGATGAAATAGAAAACAGTCAAAATTTTTGGATTTGTAGTATTATTTTTACAATCTGTGACTTGAGCTGAGTTGGACAAAGATGCACACCAGAGGGCACCAGACACAAGTTAAAATTAACATCAAAATGAGTGTAAACGTACCACCATGGCATACACTGATCAGCCATACCATCAAAACACCCGTCTGATATCGTGTAGGTTCCTTTCGTGCTGCTAAAAATGCTCTGATGCGTCAAGACATGGACTCCACAAGACCTCTGAATGTGTCTTGTGGTATCTGGCACCAACACATCAGCAGCATATCCTTAAAGTTGCAAGGTGGGGCCTTCATGTATAGAATTTGTTGTTCAGCCTATTCCACAGATGCTCAATTTGATTGAGGTCTGGGGAATTTGGAGGTCAAGGCAACATCTTGAACTCATTGTTATGTTCCTCAAACCATTCCTGAATTTTTTTTTCCGGGTGCATTATCCTTTTGAAAGAGGCCACAGCCACCTGGGTACACCATTGCCATGCAGGGGTGTACGTGGTCTGCAACAGTCTCTAGGTAGGTGGTACTTGTCAATGTAACATCTACATGAATGCCAGGACCCAAGGTTTCCCAGCAGTATATTGCCCAGAGCATAATACTGCCTTCTCCTATAGTCCATCCTATTGCCATCTCTTCCCCAGGTAAGTGACAAACAATCTTGGCGATCCATCTGATTAAGAAAAACGTGATCAGACCAGGCAACCTTCCATTGCCCTATGGTCCAGTTCTGACCGGCACTCTAAATCGGACTGCATCCCCATTTGCAACAAAAAAACTGTAATATACTGTACTATCATGGTCAACGTAAAGTTTTTCAGCAATTTGAGCAGTAACTTTCACTCTCCACCTGCATCGAAGAGCTTTGGACACCCAGTACCCCGACATTGATTCACTGGTTGTCCTTCCTTGCACCACCTCTGATAGTTACTAACCACTGCATACTGCATACCAGAACACCCCACAAGATTTGATGTTTTGGAGATGCACTGACCCATTCTAGCCATCACTATTTGGCCCTTGTCGATGTCACTCAGAGCTTTTCACTTTCTCATGTTTTCTTGCTTCCAACACATGAAATTCAAGATCTAACTGTTCACATGCTGCAGGTGCCAGGTAACAATATAATCCATATTATTCACTTCACCTGTCAGTAGTTGTGGCTGATAATTGTATATGGATTGAAAGTATCCTATTAAAGAAAAAAAATAACAGATCACAGTGCAGCATATTTATTCAACCTATATTATTATTAAAACAAAAAAACCCACTCACAAACATATCTTGGCCTTACTTTGTAAACAAAGATTTAGGTAGCCACATCTGCTGCATATTTGCTGGTGGCTGACAAGGCCAATGCAGGACAGACAGATCCGGCTGCAGCATTTGCAAGGAAAAATCTGGTCTGACTTTGATGCCACAATGTTACGGTCCTTCCTCTGTTTTTTTTTATTTTTTGTTTTTTTTTTATTTCTCAAGATCTGCATTAAGTGCGTTCTTGAAGGAGAAGGCAGCTCGATGAATTGTGTATCTCCAAGTCTCGCGATCATAGATTAATGGGAAATTATAGTAGCTTCCCCTTCTGTCAAGGCCCCTTCCCGCGGCACTGAAGGGGTTAATAACCCCTTCAGTCACTTACCTGGGTCCTGCGCCGATGTCACTCCGTGCTAGCTCAGCCCATACTCCTTCCTCGCCGCTGGCGGGGAAGACCTAATGCACATGCGCGGCAATGACCACGCTCTCATTAGGATCTCCCTATAGGAAAGCATTGTTCATTGCTCTCCTATGGGGATTCCTGTGACACTGGAAGTCCTAGTGCATAGCGTGAGGACGTCCAGTGTCGTTTAGACGACCAAAAGTTGTCTTAAGAACCCAGAAGACCCTCTAGTGACTGTCTGGTAGACCGCCACTAGAGGAGGGCTTAACCCTGCAAGGTAATTATTGCAGTTAAACTGCAATAATTACATGCTCAGGGTTAATGGTGATGAGAGTTGGCACCCAGACCACTTCAGTGGGCTAAAGTGGCCTGGGTGCCTACAGTGTCTCTTTAAAGTTGACCAGTGAAAATGGTCAATGTGACAGGTACTAAAGAATTTCTTCAGAGGTAGCTCTTCCTTGGTGCTCCTCTGTCGTGATGCCATTTGGCATGTTCACTATAGAGCACAACCTTGGGTAGGTGATGATCTTCCATCCTGGAGACATGCACTGCGTAGTGCATCTGCTACTTTAAAAGCACAGCCTAGATCAGGGTTAGGCAGCCTTTTAGTAGAACTGTGCTAAAACAAGATCTTGAAGTCCCTTGGCGTACCGATCCTGTTTTTTTTTTTTTTTTAAATGTTGCCATTTTTTTTGTGTTATTTATGGGTGCTGCGGTTGCTTTGTAACATTGTATTTGTGTGTGTATGTGGACTGTTTCTCCAATGACCATGAGAGAGTTTAGCCCACCTGCCATGTCAAGGCAGTCCTCTCAGGTGGGTCCAAAACTAACCTTTCATCTTGCTCCCATGAGCTTCTGGCAAAGATATTGATTCAATGGTTTCCTATGAGGACTTTGAAGATGTTGGGCATCTTCATGCAAAGCGTGAGGACATAGATATATTTGCGGCCCACCTGCCTTGGGGCCACTTAGTGTTGTGACTGCGATATTTCCTGTCTGATTCTTGTCTTCCCTCCCACGACCGATCGCGTGCTCCCGCAAACCAGCCACTCCCAATTCCCTCCAGAGGCGTGTCTGGCCTGCTTGAGCAAAGAAGAGCAGGGCTGGAACTATAGGACAGGTGGCTCATCTTAAGGTAGTGGAAGAGGGGTGTGACAAAATGCCTTTTGTCACTGGATTTTTATATGACCAACTGCCCTTTGCCCCTGGCTGTTGCAGGAGCCTGATTGCCAGCCTCCTCCCCCATGACTATGTCCCTGGGGTGTATTGCCATTTAAAAAGACTATTTGGGGCTTATTGATGTCTAACAGACTTTCTGCCCATTTGAATCCATGGGAAGATGTGTCTCTTCCCCTCCCCTGTTTCCTGTCTATTGTTCCAGCAGGGACAGGCACACTGCCAGACCAGTTGGAACATGCTGTGTTTTCCCTCCTTGGTCTCTCATCAGCTCTTGCTGTGTTTTAACCCCATGGCGATTTGACGGTGGTTGTGGTATCTGAGCGCTGTTCGGATATAGTGAGCGATCAGATCCAAGCTATATGGGGATAGGTTGAATGTGGGGGTTCTGTTAAGTATAATAGGAATTATGTATTTTTATGTGTTTTAACTGTTGTGAATAGTCATTTTCTGTATGCTGGAGGTAATTGGCTTACCACACCCAAGCCATGCTTGCAGATGGTCACAAAGGGACTTTCAACTAACGTTTGACCCACTGGACCAATTTGTATGATTTTGACGTATGTTTGTATTTGGAGTATGCTGAAAATGTAAGTTTTATGTGAATGTGATGTATACTTTGAGTTACGAATATTGTGTAAAACTGTGTATTTTCCTGCCTGTGATTATTAAGTTAGACCATTGTGTTCAGTAATTATATCACAGGCAGAGGGGAGGATTTTGTGTGGTAGTGTCTGAGTGTATTGTAAGTATTGATTGGTTGTTCTGCAAAACTCTGTGGGCAGTACTATGTGTTTAAAATGTGCATAAAAGCATAGTGTTTGATTAAAAGCAACAGATCTTGTTGACCCTCAACACGTAGTCTTGTCTCGTGATTGGAGGGGACAGCTATACTCACACTGGGGATTGCTGTGCTCTACATACTCCCCTGAGCTTTAATCACTTAGATCTTTTAAGACCTTGTTCTTGATACGCTCTCTTGGAGGAGAGGTCTTCCCCACACGGTCCTGGAGGACAGAAGCTGATCCAGGGTGGACAGAAGACGGCGAGACTCCAGTTAAGCTGCGGTGGTTGTGGTGTCCGGTGCGGTGCTTGTGGTCCTCGGCGCAAGCTAGGAAGCGTCCATCAACGGAAGGTACTATTTCCTGAAGTTACAGTGCCATACAGGATACCTGTCCTTTTCAGTATTCACAGTAGAATTTTGAGAGATGGATTTAATGAGCCTTAGCTTCCATTTGGGCTATTATAACAGTTTGACTGTTCAAAAAAAACCCACAAAGGCCTACCATTTGTAAAAGTAGACACTCCAGGGTATCTCATAAGGTGCATATTGTGCCTTAACATACCCCCATTTTTTCACCAATATGAAATCATTTTGTGCATTTTTTACATACGGATTGCATTTTTGCTGGGCGTTTTGTATATTTCGTATGTGCCACTAAGTTCAAACCTCCCAAATTCGGGGAGTTCCGTTACAAGGGGCTTGGGGGACCTTCCTGTGTTACGTGTTAAATTGGGTAAGGGAGGGCAGTGTAATAAATTGGGGGGGGGGGGGGGAGTGCACTCCCTTAGGTAAGGACTTTAATGGACTGTCACAATACAGACGAAATTAAATGTATCTATCAAAGCAAACTGTCATCTTTATAATTTTCTGAACTTTCCATTACAATAGTTACAGCTCAATTTAAATCGTAAGATCATAAAAATTGTACTATAAATTGTCTTTAATTATAATATTGCAGCACTTCTAAATATTGTAGACTAAGTTGTAATGGGCATCTAATTCTTAACTCTAAAAGTTAAAACATGGGGGGAAAAAAAGATCAATTTATGGCATACTTTCTGCCTAATTTGACTATTTTGCTTGTGACGGACATTAAAAGTTTTGGTTGTCATGAGTCCATTATTTATGTATGGATAAGTGAATAACGTTGCCGTGGTCTGTGTAATAAGTTTAAAGGTTTAGTAGCCACGCAAAGACTTGCCAAATACTAGAATCTCGGAAACAACTTTTCTAAAATATTACAGATAACTCCTAAATTGTTTGGGTCTTCATATGAAACTCTTAGGCTGTACCTTTGGGAGAGGTCTAGTTGCACCCCCAACACACGTGACATAGCAGGCCAGAAATCGATTCTGCACTGCCAAGTGTGTAAGTCCTGTGCACAAATGATGTCTGTTGTCAGCATGCACTGCATTAGCTTTTTAACTTGCAGGCAGTGCTGTTGCTTTATAACATGATATGACTTTATATTCTGGTTTTTCATGTAATGAGATACTCTATTAGTGTGTTCCCACTGAATAAAGATACTTTTTTGTATATAAACATTTATGGTTGTGCTCCTTACTTAATTTGTTTTTGCATGTATTTGGGCTTTTGGGAAAAGAGACTTATGTAAGTGAGCACCCTATATCTCATTTCTTTAGAGAGCTCCATTTCGGGTCAGTCTGTATTTAATATTGGAGTGTGCCTACCTTGGTTAATTTTTTTACTCGCAAAGTTATATTTGACCTGGAAAGATCATTGTAAAAGGCCAAGTTGGATCCTTCAAATTTGTAGGTGGCTAAGTTGCAGCTTGCATCAGAGAGATTGAAAGCATACCAGTAAGTTCGGGGTTTTGGGTGGCTTGAGAGCTCGGAAAAAAATACTCCAGTAGAATGTTTTTTGCCGTTGCAGGTGGAACCACAGAGGCCAGCAATCTCCTGATGTAGTGTGGTAGCTCAGGATTCATCACCTCTTCAAGGACATCTCTAATTCTGAGGTGTCTCTGATGTGTAGAATCCTCTAAGGCTATTATCTTGCTCTCCATCGCTGCGTCACAAGATCTTCTCTGACTAATGCAGTGTCAGCTGCACGCAAGACTTTTAGCTGTTTAATAAGGTTGGCAATATCTGCTTTGATTGCTGAAGCTGCTCTGGGTTGCCTGGCACCTGTAGGCTCAGTAAGTTGCCTCTCTGACGCTGTCCTCTGAGACGCTGTAAGAGGCTTCCCACGCAGGCAGTCTTGGATGAGGGTGCCGATTTGCTGCTAAAAGGGTTAAATTTGCATCCTATCTTGCTTTAAAAAAAAAAAAAAAAAAGGTCTGAGGGTAAATATACTCTCCAAACATGTTGATTATATAGGAGTTTAGCAGTGTCTCTCATTAGGCTCAATGTCCGCATGGCTAACTCCCGTTAAACCCTTTTTAATGTTCTAATGCTAAACAAGAATCCCCAGGAGTCTTTCCCCTCTGCTGCTTTGGCTACTTAAGATGCACTAGCCTGAGCAGCAATGGATGGCTGTGATTGGCTAAGAATGTTAGCTGATCGCTTTCATCATATTACAGCACTCATTGCTGGTATGTATTGGTATTATTATTATTGCCATTTATATAGCGCCAACAGATTCCGTAGTGCTTATGGTATGGCTAGGAGGGAGTGTGGAATTCATGTTTGTGACCCTGACCCTTTAGTGTTCCTTTAATTCTATTTTCATTAACACCTTTAACTGTAATTGGCACATGAAGATCACTGCCACTTCGATGATTTTGCTGAATAGGCCTAGCATTCTACCCTTCTGAAAGAGGTAAATGTCCCAAGGAAAAAAAATATATAAAGGATAGCTAGCGTTTTAAAAAATTTTTTACCCCACAGTTTTTATTAAAAAGCAAACACTGCTGAATATATAAAATTTTATATAGTGTTACATAGACTATTTTTGATTATAGTGACACTGTTGTTGAATATTAACTTGTTGCAAACTGCAAATACTCTGATCTCTTATTAGTTTTATTTACGTATACAAGCTAAAGGACTGGTTGAATATTTTTGGATTTCTCAATTTTAAGTGTATTGTTCAGACTTCATTGGAACACCTAACAGGACTTTTTCAGCTCCATCCATGTTCACTTTTATACTGGAGCAGAACACTGAATCCTGCTGTGTGTGCGCGCTCAGTGATGTGTATCACTTTAAACAGTTACTGCATCTCCATCGACACTGATGATTAAAAACTGTAGGATTTCAATTCTTTGCCGTTTATAGCGGAAGTCCTGCAGGACTAAAGTTGAGATCTGAAAGCATGGAAACTGCTAAGCATATGCAATGTGCTAAAAGAGCACTTGGGAGTTTCTAGGCAGAAAATGCATATATTCTTCAAACAGTGCTTGCATTTTAATGGTATGCAAGAGCAATTATTAAATTACTTATTCATTAAATGATAAACACAGGAAGGCAGCTGTGTGAGAAGTACGTGGAATGGAAAGAAGCTTGCTTAAATTAAAAGTAAACTGTAGTAGGTGGAAATACTTATTTTCCCCCTCAAGGTGGAGCTATTGTGCTATCTTAGCTTGCATTGTATGTGTGCTTTTATTTGTATAGCACTCACGGGTGTACTTATCATTTTACAGGTTATTTTGTTGTCATTTATGTGGTGCCAACAAACTCTGCTGCTCTGGATATGGCAAATAAATGATGCAATAACAAAACATAGTTTGACAGATGAAAGCAAAATGTCAGAATAGGTTTTGACTGTCCTGGACACATGCTTATAATCTCCTATGTTGGGTAGGCAGAGTAAGTGAAGTAGTAATTCAGACTTTATTTTTGGGATAAAATACCTAGGCTGCTTTATGCTCCTTAGAGCTGATTTAAGTTTTTTTTCTTTGAGTACCTATTACCAATCATTAGTTGTGGAAATTAAACCACATGCTGAATATCTTTAACCCAGTTATGGCAGATGGTGTACCGGACCTTTATTCTTAAATGGCACTTTCACTTATATATCTCTTACATGCATTAATCTTTTGTACCCGGTGCTGAGGAATTATGGAGAAAGAAGCAAATATGGGTTACTGAATTTGTAGTCCTTAAAACATTTTTACTGACCAAATGCAGTATATATATGTAGGTGTATAAGTCGACAACTAAAAATTAAGAGGTGAAATCGAACTGTAGGCCAATATTTGCTGTATAACTCGACCCCCAAAATAATGTGCAACTTTTGGGCTTAGGCTGGCAATGTAAGTCAACAAATAGTCCAATTTCTTATTTAAAATATTTATTTTTTCTTACTATATCCTGTTATTTTATTATTATTCTCGATGAATAAATTGGTCAGTTTAAACGTAAACAAGCAAAAGAGTGTGCAGTTTAATTTCTTTGCACATATGCGTGTATCTCTCCAATTGGTCAGCTGTGTACATATTGGTGATACAATACTGTTGTGGTAATGACATCTGGCACTTCTGAAATTAGTTTTTAAAAAGTAAATAATGTCTCGTAAACGTACTCAAATCATGTGATACAACAGTGACAAGCACTCCTATTCCAGTGACAAGCACTCTCTCTAGAAGAGAAGTTGGAAGTGAAAGAGAAGTATGAGAAGAGTGAGAGTATTGAGTGTATCAATAAAATATTAAACCAAGGCCTTATTTTCCGCTCTGCTTTGTATTAACAGCTTTATGTTCGTCGAATTAGTTGACTTTCTGAGAGATTTTTATATACCTAAAATGACAACTTATATGACCCTATATAAGGTTAATTGTAATCTAGTAATTGTAATATACAGTGGCGTGTACACAACCCATGCAGACAGGTGCACGCAGACAGATGCCTGCACACGCATGCACCCACGCAGACAGGCGCAGGCATGCATATATGCACGCACGCACATGCAGGCATGCATACAGATAGGCACACGCATGCATGCATACAGATAGACACGCACAATATTTAAATCACCCTCCTGTTTCCTACTTTTTAAGTGCAAGTGGTGCCAGATGTCATGACTTTCCCTGTGGTCAAATGGTGGCTCAGGTTGATGGGAGTCAGAGTTCCCACTCTGACTCCCTCTGCTTCCTCCTGCGCAGGCTCTCAGTGATAGCTGGGAGGAGTGACGGGGAGTCACTTTCTCCCAGCGTGTGATGATCTCATCACAGGGGGCCCGGTCGCGCTGTTAAAGCGCTGCAGTGCTGATTGGGCCCCCTGAAAATCCATACCCATCGGGTGGCCCTGACAGCATGGGCCACCCGATGGGCACCTTAATATGCGGACCCGACAGTTTGCTTCGCGGGCCAGGGGCCGCATATGATGATCGCTGGCACACGGTCGCAGGGGTCTGCAGGGTGGCCGGGCCCCCTGGAATGAAGGGCCCGGTCGCAGCTGCGACCCCTGCAACCGCTATATGCACACCAGTGGTAATATACTGAGTCGAGGTTATAGACAAAGTACACAGTTTAAGAAATACATTTCATTCTAAAACTTGTAATATTTGCATTTGCCCACAACAGTGGTACCAAATTAAGATGTCAGTCAAAGATTTTCTGTATCAACTCCACAGCCCTGTTACTACCGACCTGTTTTCTGCCAGCCATTGCTCACAAAAACTTGTGGACTAAGAGCCTTCCCACATGATGTTATGTAGATGTCTGATCATCATCTCATGCATGTGTAAGAATATCGGGGGGGGAGGGGGGCAGGGACACCTTGCTATTGTTGAGAATGTTTTGTTGTATTATTCTTTCCTCTGTCAGGAAATGAGCATAGGAAAATGGAGGTGCGACGAAGATGGTGCTTAAACCATCACTATCGTCACAAGAACAACTGCAGCTTAATTTAGTTGTTCTTGTGAGTATAGTCAATCTCTCACTGCATTTCCATATAGGCAGTGTATACATTGCTGCCTAAGGACAGCCACTAGAGGTGCTTCCTGGGTCATCGCTGCACAGCGTTTCCACTGAACTTTCCTCAAAGAGATGCATTGATTCAATACATCTCTATGAGATGTTGATTGTCCAGCACACTATTTAGCTCGCCCTGCCTCCTTTGTTGAGTTGATCAGAATTGAGAATCTCAGCCAATCCAATGCTTTACCATAGGAAAGCATTAGATTGGCTGAGGTTATGAAGTTTGATGTCAACCAAGGCGGAGGATTGGGGGCGGGGCCAGAGCCAGCGACCCACACAGTGCTGGAATGAAGGTAAGATTTTAACTTATTTAAGGGGGACATAGATATAAATAGGGTTATTGACACTATAGGTGTTTGCATTCTTGACCCATTAGTGTTCCTTTAATGTTAAAAATAAACTTTGCTTAAAAAATAAGAATGGTACAGACCCCATAAGTGACAGTTCTGTTTTAAGATTGTAGACGTCTTGCTGCCATTGTGTGTGGTCAGAATATTTTTTTATTTTTTTTAGAATAAATTTGAATTTGTTTCAAGGTAAAGTATTAGACTAAAATAGTACAAAACAATGATAATTTTAGATCCAATTTTCTTCCTTCTTTTGCAGCATTTAATTTAGAAATGGTGCTCCTTTACGTTTTTCCTGTTTCTTTTGTACACCAACTATCTACAGCGCTGTCTGGGATTATTTAGACAGCCATACATTTTTTTTAGCTCTTTGCTTTAGCATATTTGCTTTAAAACACTTTTAATCTCTTTAGTCATAGTTTCAGGATGTCCTCTTTGAAGTGCACATGTGATTGCAAAATATATTTTCACATTATAGTAACTAATATTTCATTCTCTTCATTATCATTGTTGCTTATTTTAAATTGGCTATTTAGTTAGAACATTTAATAAAGGAATTGTTCAAATGTTATTTCCTATAATGAGTGTGGCTTTTTTTTTGTTTGTTTGTTTGTTTGTTTTTTTACAAAGTTTAGCTCTTTCTTTTTATCGAGAAAGAGGATCATCTTATTTCTGCTATTCTCCATGCAATTGAAGGTTTGATTCTGTGGCACTTCTGCTGTTAGCAGGCACACATTAATAAACAGGGAGTAAGAAAAGGTCTCAAGTGTAAAACAAAATCAGTTTGGTTCCTACTTATCTTAACCAAAGACCTTGTCAAATGATGAGTGCAGTGTTTGTGTTAGTCTTACCATAAGTTCAGAAATGTCTATGTAATCAGAATTCCAAGATTCCTTAATTTGTAGTCTGGTTCGTTTCGTTGCAATTTTCCAGGTCTATTTCTAAATGCTTATTAAATGTCTGGCTTGTAAATTCAGCAAAAAAAAACCTTATCTTTACTAAGAATAGTCTAGTGCGTTCTAAGATTCTCTGATTTTAGGAAAAGTACAATTCACTACTTTTTATCAACATTTTTCTTACAACAAAATACTGGAGGACTTTGTGTTAACTCGATAACATACAGACCATGTATATTTTCTCTTTCACTGTAGGAAGCCAAAGAAGAAAATACTGTGTCAAAAAAGAGAGGAAGGCTTCAACTAGATCGACGGAGAACTGGCTGCAAGAGGAGAATAGCACGTAAGTTAGTTCCCGATGAAAGTTGGGCATTCATGTGTGACAAGCCACACATGATTGTGGCATGATTTGGAACAAACCTAATAAGTGATTAAACTTCTGCTGGAAAATATTATTTTTGTCGGTATTGTTGAAAAATTTACTTTTCTATTGAAGCTTGTTCCATATTCTGGGCAGTGTGAAAATACAACAGTCACACAGTAGTAGCACACCCATCAACCCTATAAAAAAAAAAAAAAAGTAACTTTAATCATTGTGCATATTGTGAGCAGAAAACTGTATTACCACTAAAAATGAAAACACAAAACACTCAAACACCTCACTTAGGTGTGAAAAAATAATAGGGGGCCAGTTACAGTATATGATCATACATTGCATAAGCCTGCCACAACGTCAATGAACCCCGTTCGTGGCAGATTCTTCTTTCACAGCCTAATGTCTGCTCTTATGACTTTGATCCACTTACTTATGAAATGCTTCATACTGGGGCTCTCTGCAGGTCAAGGTTAAATAGGGCCCTGAAATGAGGCACAAGTGACAGGGAGGGATGCAAAACCGGGGTGTTGGCTTAGGCTCCCAAATAGGTTTTCGTTTTACACTCATTCACTAGACGGCAATCTCGGTGCTAGTAGAATGCATTAGTCTTATGTGATCATATATTGCATAAGCCTATCACGTGTACTCATGTAAACATGCATGAATTATAAGGGTGCTGATGAGGGCAAATAATACAACATACAACATCCAGCACACTAATTCACTAAACGGCAATCTCAAAGCAAACCAAATGCAATAGATGGCATATATTACTTTTCTTGAATTTAATTTTTTTTTGGTAAAGAATACTTATTTCCAGCACTGAGACTTATGTGCTGCAGCCGCCTGCTATGCATTTGAAGACTTGAGCATGTCTCATAAAGAAGCAATGGATTGGACATAGGCATGCATGTCCAAGTGACGCTCTCCTCTAATTAAATGCTATCCGCTGTTCACTCTGTTATGGAAGAGGAAACTCCTCTAGTGGCTGCAAACATAAACTGCTGTAAACATTGCAGTTTAAAATGACAGGACCACTGCACCAAGACCCCTTCATTGAGATTAAAGAGTGGTCCTTTAATAACCATATTTGACAATTCAACTTTATTTGCCTTTAAATACCTACCTTGCCGTACAAATGTTGCTCACTTCAGTCCAGTTTGAAGGCTTAAAGGGACACTATAGTCACCAGAACAACTACAGCTTAATGCCTTTTCAGTGTTTACATTGCCGCTAGGGACACCTTCAAGTGGCTTCTCCTTAGAGGGCCACTGCTTGGAGACACTGAATTTTCCTCATAGAGATGCATTGATTCAATGTATCTCCATGAGGAGGCCCTGAATTGCCAAAACGTCATCTGGCCCTGCCCCCGTGCCAATTCTAGCCAATCCAATGCATTGGATTGGCTACAAATCTGCCATTTCGATTATGCCACAAAGGGGGCGGAGCCAGCGCGGCACTGGAAATAAGAGGAGTTTTATACTTTTATGGGGGGCTAACTGGGGGGCGGAAGACACCTAAATGGTGGGTAAACACTATAGGGTCAGGAATACATGTTTGTGTTCCTGACCCTATAGTTATCCTTTAAATGTTAATACCATTTTTTTTCAGTTTTTAGCCTACATCAAACCATACTATTCATGGTCACTATTTGCTGCTATACATGCTTCAGAAAATCACAAAAAGTCGCTAGTTATTACCAGATCCAGAGCAACCTCTAATCTAATTGATGCCTTTGATTGCTGATACATTAAGCTGACATTTAGCAGGATCACAATGTTGCTTCCCTTGGCTCATCTACTTGTCCCAGTGATCTAATCAGTGTCTGGATAACTGAAACTTCCCATGATTAAAGCTTGACCCAGATGTGATGCTTTGTCAGTTAATAATAAAATAAATGTATGCATTTCTTCCATCCAGAAATGACTGAGGAGGAACAGTTTGCCCTGGCTGTGAAGATCAGTGAGCAAGAGGCTAACCATGGAAACTATAGCGCAGAAGAGGAGAGTGAACTCCTGAGAAAAGCCATTGAGGAGAGTCTTTATGTAATTATGCCTCCTTACGTTATACGAAAACAGAATTAATAATAAAAACTAGAGACTTTAAATTAGGTTTTTCAAAGTTTGCCCTCCAGCTTGATTTTGCCTTTATTCTCGTTGGTTGGTAAAGACCTGTGGAAATGTAGTCCTGTTTTATAAAAATAAAATAAATAAATGTACATGTTATATAGGACTAGGTATAATTTGTGGTACTAAAAAAAAGTGTGTTTTTTTTTAAATCTCCTAAACAATTGAGTTTAGGAGATTATGTAATTATTCATTTTGGAGCCATACAAATTATTCCACTTATCTTTTCCATTTACTATCTAAACCTCCACTGTGTCCAGTGTATGTGTTTGTGTGGTTTATATATATATATATATATATAATACAATGCTAAACAAAAATCTGCACACCAGTCAAGCCATAAGACTTGCTTTTCCCACAGAAATCCCAAATCAGCAGTGATGTAACAACCGCAAAGGATTCTGGGTGGGCATATGCAATTTCTGTGGGAAAAGCAAGTCTTATGGCTTGACTGGTGTGCAGATTTTTGTTTAGCATTGTATTAACTATCCACATACTTCAGGTGGAAGGGGTTTTCAATCACAATTTTTCCCCACCATAACCTAATTTAATTATATATATATATATATATATATATATACATATATATATATATATATATATATATATATATATATATATATATATGTGTGTATGTGTGTATGTATATATATATATATATATATATATATATATATATATATATATGTATGTGTATATATATTTTTTTTATTTTTTTTTTACAAAAATCCAATCCTATTTAATGGAATAAAGGAAACGGACATCCAAAACTTATTGCCTGTCAAGAAGGAAAAGTAGTATAGCTCATAGGATTATAATATATTATGTATTTTCCATATCTTTTTTATGTATTCCACCTTTCTTTCAGAGCTGTGAGGTTTCTGACATTCCAGAAAAAGTATCTGAACAAGAACTAAAGAAGGAGAATTCTTCCATTAACGAGGATATATGTTCAACAGAACTTGACAAAGCGCTGCCATTATCACAGTCCTCTGATCAAGGCATTGTCAAAAGTCCAGTGGTGAGCTTGATTCGTTTAAGCCAAGATATTGTGGAAAGTTCCAGTGTAATTTTGTCACCAAACTGTAAGGACCTGTTTTCAGAGATTGGAAGTGAGCCTCATACCCCATGCTTAAGCAATACAAGTGCATTTTCAAGCAAGTGTGCAACCCAACAACTTGCATTAAGTCCTATTTTTCCCAAACAGTCCCCACTTTCACTGAAGCTGTTTCCTCGAAAACTCTTTCCGGGCAAAAGCCCAGGCTCCACCGGGTTTCAGGAGGATGTTGATGATCAGTTCTCGCATTGCTCAGAAAGCTCTGAACATGACTCAGTCTCCCTGCTACCCATCTCTCCACCCAAATCCATGAAAATGGAAAACTCGCTTCAGAAAATGATTGATGAAAAGTCTGCACTGTTTAATGGGGACTCTGCAATACTAGACGCTAAAGAGTCTGCTTCTACATTCAGCACTGACATTTCTGAGCACGAGGGCATCAGGGTACAGCAAACTGAGGGTTCTGTACACTATTACTGGGGGGTTCCTTTTTGCCCAAAGGGGGTGGATCCTAATGTATACACTCAGGTTATCCTCTGTCAGTTGGAGGTTTATCAGAAGAGCTTGAAGAGAGCTCAGAGACAGCTCTTACATAAAATGGACTTTGGTGAACCAATCGACTTGGTAGCTGCTTCTCATCAGAATGAAAAAGGAGATAGCCAAGGGAGTGTTAGTCAAGAGGATCAGAGAGATGAGTGTGTGCCTAAACTTAGACCAGAGAGTGATTGTGAGGAGTCAGAGAACTCTGATAAGTCAGTAACACGACGAGTGTCAAGTAGAAGAAGACAGTTTGAAAATAAAATGCACAGTCCTCAGGATGAAGAGAGCTCTGTTGCACCACAGGAGGAGCCTGCCTGTAGTACTTCACAGGTAAGGGAATATTACATTTTCAATATGCAAAGCAGCAATGCCTGTAGATTTTAAGTGGCCTCTACATCCTCCGTAGACCGGTAACCTTCTAATGACAGACATCATTTTTTTTTTTTAAGTTTGTGCTCACCAATGACTCTGCCTTACTTCATGGTATATCTGGCAACTATCCTCCCAAATTCCATCATCTGCTTGTTAATTGGACAGATAGGTCAGGCAAAAAATTTTTTCTTCTCAATGTTCTTCACCTTTCACTGGTTAGTTTTATTTTCAGAGGTTTTACATTATTGATTGTAAAATGGAGACTATAGTCACCAAAACCACTTTAGCATAATTAAGCAGTTTTGTTTTATACCTTATGCCCCTGCAGTCTCACTGCTCAATTCCCTGTCATTTAGGTGTTAAATTACTTTGTACAGCCCTATCCAAACCTCCCTGCATGTAATTTGCACAGTCTTCCTAAACTCTAACTATAAAAATGATCTAATGTTTATATTTCCTTTATTGCACAGTCTGTTTAATTTAGAATGTTTTAGCTCCTGCTTGGTTAATGGCCCTCTCGGCCCTGCAGGAGCCTCCTGTGTGTAATTAAAGTTTGATTTACATAGAAGGAGATATTAAAACTTCTAAAGTAAGTTAACATCTGATTGAAAAGTAAACCTTTTTTTTTTTCATCCATGCTGTCAGTCACAGCCAGGGGAGATGTGGCTAGGGCTGCATGGACATAAAAAGTGATTTAACTCCTACATTGTAGAGAATTGAGGAGGGAGACTACAGGGGCGCTTTTACACGTATCTTGTGCTCGTTAGTTAGGTTTCTATATTCAGGGGCCATGAATATGTTATGTTTTTTTCATATGTTACATAGTTGTCTAGGTTGAAAAATTGAACCGTCTGATTGCTCCCTGCTCGCGCCCACCTATTTCGTTATTTTGACGAAATAGGGGGCGCGGCTTCACGAGGCTCCTGGCGCTGGAACCAGGTGAGTAAAATTCTCTGCTTGGAGAGTCCCTTTAAGGTAAATTACATCTGTTTGAAAGTGAAACCAGTTTTTTTTTCATGCAGGCTCTGTCAATCATAGCCAGGGGAGGTGTGGCTAGGGCTGCATAAACAGAAAAAAAGTGATTTAACTCCTAAATGACAGTGAATTGAGCAGTGAAATTGCAGGGGAATGATCTATACACTAAAACTGCTCTATTTAGCTAAAGTAATTTAGGTGACTATAGTGTTCCTTTAAGTAGATAATTCCACATTTTTATTGTTCTTACTGTAAAAAAAGCTTTCCTTTGTTGTAAGCATTTATTCATCTATCAATAGATGACCTTGTGTCTGTTGTATATTCCAGATCATAAGCAGGTTAGCATATAGCAGTTTGTACTGACCCTATATATATTTGTACAATGCTATCATATCCCCTCTGACGCTACTTTTTTCTAAAGAAAACAAATCCAGTTTTTTTTTTTCTAGCCTTTCTTTATAACTGTTTTCTACCCCCCCTAGTTTTGTAGCTCTCCTTTACACTTTTTCTAGTTCTGCAGTATACTTCATTACAACCAGTACCCAAAACTGCACTGCATAATCGAGGTTGTGTATTACCATTCATTTGTAAAGAGCCAAATTTATTATTCTGATCACGTGATCAAACCCCATTTTATACAGAAAGCACATTGCATATCAACACAGTAAAGGAGGAGAGTATATTTTAAAGAGAACTGCCACAACAAGAGAACATAGTCTTAAATTAGAGGGGGCAAAGGCTTAAAAATAATTTCAGGGAGTATTACTTTACTGAGAGGGGAGTGGATGCATGGAATAGCCTTCCAGCTGAAGTGGTAGAGGTTAACACAGTGAGGGAGTTTAAGCATGCGTGGGATAGGTGTAAGGCTATCCTAGACTTAAGATAAGGCTAGGGACTAATGAAAGTGTTTTGAAATATTGGGCAGACTAGATGGGCCGAATGGTTCTTATCTGCCGTCACATTCTATGTTTCTATATTGTTGACTAATTTGTGATCTAGAAGTGTTCCCAAGTCCTTTTCATTTGTTATATCTAACCCATCCCTATTTAATGTATTAGTGTCTTGTGGGTTATTTATTCCAAAATGCATGACTGTGCATTTATTTGTATGGAATCTCATTTGTCACTTGACTGCCCAGTTCCCACAATTTATCCATATCCCTCTTTAGAGAAGTTAAAGGACCACTCTAGGCACCCAGACCACTTCAGCTTAATTAAGTGGTCTGAGTGCCTGGTCCTTCTAGGGTTAACCCATTTTTTCATAAACATAGCAGTTTCAGAGAAACTGCTATGTTAATGAATGGGTTAAGCCTTCCCCTATTTCCTCTAGTGGCTGTCTCATTGACAGCCACTAGAGGCGCTTGCGTGCTTCTCACTGTGATTTTTCACAGTGAGAGCACGCCAGCGTCCATAGGAAAGCATTATGAATGTTTTCCTATGTGACCGGCTGAATGCCCGCGCAGCTCTTGCCGCGCGTGCGCATTCAGCCGACGGGGAGGAGAAGAGGAGGATCGGAGGAGGAGAGCTCTCCGCCCAGCGCTGGAAAAAGGTAAGTTTTAATCCCTTTCTCCCTTCCAGGGCCGGGTGGGGGCACCCTCAGGGCACTATAGCGCCAGGAAAACGAGTATGTTTTCCTGGCACTATAGTGGTCCTTTAAGTCATGTTTGGACTGTATATTCTAACCTAGTTTTGTGTCATCTGCAAACACTAACAAATGACTTTAAATGCCCACTTCATGATTATTTAGAGACAGGACAGAACCATAACGCACTCCACTCTTGTCCAATTTAAAAATGTTCTATTTACAACTACTCTTTGCTCACTTTGCAGTTAGTGTTTCATAAAAAAACACGATTTCATTGTATAAATAAAATGATTTCAGTTTTACTAGTAACCTTCTAAGTGGAACTGTATCAAATGCCTTGGCAAAATCCAAATTAGAACACATTTCCACCCATTGTACAGCACTCCGGAATTTGCTGGCGCTATATAAATAATAAAATAATAATTGGATCACCTTGATCTATATTTTCGTTTAACTTCTTCATAGAGCGCACTTAAGTTAGTTTGGCTGACAGTACCCGCACCTTGCTAAGGTACCTACTGCATTGCGATACTACGCTAAAGCCGGACTAGTGGCCATGGATCTTTACCATCAGAAGAGACACCGATAGTTCGAGCAATCTCAGTAGAAAATCGAGACAAAATCCACTTTATATAATATTAGTAATCTCAGCACTGACCCTACTATACAGTTAATGTATAACAAGTGCTGAAAATCAGAATACCATGTTTGTATATCATGTTTGTTTCTCGTTTATACGCCTGATACCACTGTCGTGGTGTGTCTGGCTTGATTATCATATTGTTGCACCAGCACAAAAAAAATAAAAATGAACACCAACAAAATATAGCCAAATCAAGTGTTTCATCCCTCCAAGTCTCAATAATCCCAATTATGTAATAGTATTCCTTGAATGCCAGTATCTAAAGCTCCCCCATTTTTCTACACAACCCCCCCACCATACCTCCAAACTTGACTTTAGCTGAATTCCCTCTCTTTTCTATACTATCTACCACATTTACTCTTCTTTGACCCTTGGTTAAGTCCTTAAATCTTTGCAGGACCTATTTCAGCATCTTCACACTCTTCATCGAGACTCTGAACGTTCCCCAAAGAGATACATTGATTCAATGGATCTCTATGAGGGGATGTTAGTTGGCACTACTCGGCACTTTGCCTCCTAATGCTTTCCTGTAGGAAAGTATTTTGCGGAGATCAGCAAGATTGATCTCAGCCATGAAGAAAGGGTCCGTCATGGCAAGACCAGCGCGGTGATGGAGAAATAGTATGTAAAATATATTTTTTCTGCATTTGCGGGGAGAAGGAGGGCATGCCTAAATAGGTAGTCAAGCACTACAGTGTTGGGAATACAAACACTATAGTGTTCCTTTTAATATCTGCTTTCCTCCTGTATTTATGCTGGTAGTCTATATTCTCATTGGTGATGTTATTACTGCCAGAGCACTTTTTTTGCTCTAGAATGTATTTTTTGTTTTCCCCCTTCTCCTGGAATAGTTTAATATGTTTTCTTGGTTCATTGTTTTCCTCCAAGAGCTGTGAACAGATTATTACAAGATGGATTTTTTTTTTCCCCCCTATAAATCATTTTACTTAGGGATACACAGAGATTTGGCTAACCAGCGACAAAGTGTCCATGGTAGTGTTATTGTTTGCCTTTACCAGGATTATCGTGTTTCCTAATATTAGCCATACCCCGAAAATAAGCCCTAATCATACTCTAATCTATGTTCAGGGAATTTTCCCTGAACATAGATTTGCGGTATTCTATTAGCTAGTAAGCTGATCTATGTTTGGGAACGTTTCCCAGAACATAATTTGCAGGATTCCATTCCCTAGTGAACTAGTCAATGTTCGGGTGTGTACCCCTGAACATAGACCTTCTTTTTAGCACATATTTTTTCCAGAAATAAGACCTCCCCTGAAAAATAAGCCCTAATGCATTTTTCGGGGGACAAATTAATATAAGACAAAGTCTTATTTTCGGAGAAAGACTGTGTTCATTTCGCATGTGACTCTAGTCTGTGATTAATGTATTCTTAGGAGGTAACTATTTTATGTATGCAGTATTGATAATGTAATGAGCTATGTGCAAGGGATGTTGAGGAAGACAGTATGTGGAAAATTAATTGTAAGCTACATAACCCCTACAGCCTGTGTCATCAGTGTTTTAATTTACCGGAATTCCGTAGGTGCACATGGCTCAGGCACTCTTGACAGATATTGCTGGACTAGAAGTGACTCTTCCACTTCAAGTGTATCATTTCCATCTGTCTTTGGATGGAATTATGTGGAAGATAGTGTCAGCTGATACTCCTGAGCCAATCCGTTTTGGCCAGAGTTGAAGCAAATTGATATGCTTAAAGGACCACTCTAGGCACCCAGACCACTTCAGCTTAATGAAGTGGTCTGGGTGCCTGGTCCAGCTAGGGTTAACCCATTTTTTCATAAACATAGCAGTTTCACAGAAACTGCTATGTTTATGAATGGGTTAAGCCTTCCCCTATTTCCTCTAGCAGCTGTCTCATTGACAGCCGCTAGAGGCGCTTGCGTGCTTCTCACTGTGATTTTTACAGTGAGAGCACGCCAGCGTCCATAGGAAAGCATTATGAATGCTTTCCTATGTGACCGGCTGAATGCGCGTGCAGCTCTTGCCGCGCGTGCGCATTCAGCCGACGGGGAGGATAGAAGGAGGATCGGAGGAAGAGAGCTCTCCGCCCAGCGCTGGAAAAAGGTAAGTTTTAACCCCTTTCCCCCTTCCAGAGCCGGGCGGGAGGGGGACCCTGAGGGTGGGGGCACCCTCAGAGCACTATAGTGCCAGGAAAACGAGTATGTTTTCCTGGCACTATAGTGGTCCTTTAACTTAGAAACGGGATCTTTTGCTTTAGCCATAACTGTGAACAGGGGTTGGCTCACATGGTGCTGGCTCTTTTGACAGAGCATATATTTTTGTATCTGTTTGGAGGGGGTGCAGGTTTATTGATGCACAGAAGATGGCGTTGTTGCACTATAGTATTTTCCTTACTGGGTTTTTGTTTTGTACTTGGCCACAGGCCAGAATCTGCACCTGTTAAACCTGTTAGGGGTTGAAGTAGAATTTTTTAAATAATTTTATTTATTTGGCTGAAAATAATAGCACATTTTGTTTTCTTAAAGAAACATCTATATATTTGTACAGACATAGAATAAGTAAAAAGAGATTTTTGTTGTTTGTTATATATATATATATATATATATATATATATATATATATATATATATATATATATATATATATATATATATATATATACATTAAGATAAATATGATATTTTTAATGCTGAAATGGTGAGCTAACCCCAGCCCTTAAAACGTGCTTGAAATAATGAAATGCCGTTGTAGAACACTATAAAACTCCACCACTTTGATGGTGGAGGTTTATAGTGCTATATTGTGGCATTTCATTACAAAATCTAAATGCTAAATCTACGCCACTGCTTTTCTGTGTATGTCAAGTGTGGGTATAAACAAAGATTGATAGCATCGAGTATTGCTTTTTCTAAATGTACTTGTCATGAAATAAATGACAGTCACTGTAGAAAGCACAGAATTCAATGCATGAGCTACTCAAATTGCTTTGTATCTTTTTCATCTCTACAATTTCTGGTGATCCTGTCAATACAATGTACAGATCAAATAAATACCTAGGTCAATATAAGACAATATAACAGAAAATCATTGCACCATGTTATTTTATTTTCACTTAAACATTCACAGAGTCTGCATTATTCAGTAAAGTGCAAATTGTTGGAAATTCATAGTGAATTTCAAATTTAAAAAGAAAATAGCCTGACTGGAAAAATCCTCTAGGTCAATTATGCTTCCATCCTGGCTATTTTGGCCTTAAATTTAAATTATCGAAAATTTGCTTTGAATTCCTGACAATTCTCACTTTAGTAAATAACTACGTGAGAGTTCAACAATTGCTCATTATTTTCTTTTTGAAGTTAGCTGACAGGTATGCAGTGGTACATATGTGGAATATGAAAACATATGTCAGCTGCTTAAAAATGACATAGTAATAAATGCATTTTGTGTTTGCTTTTTCTATTATCCCAGCTGCCTATATGGTTTCTCCTAGAAAGGCTCTATAATGGCTGTCAGGAAATATTGCAATATGATTCAAGGTACCTGATTCATGCAGCTGCGGGAAGGGTTTATTTTCATTATTCTACCTACACTGTACATTTCACCTCAATAAACATTTTAGTGTAATAACAAGCAAACTAGCACCCACAAAAATGGTAACTGCTCCTTTTAAAAACACTATCCTAAAGGGGTATTGGGCCCTAATATTTTCATATTGGTTTAAAGAAACATTCTAGTATTAAAAAGAGAGAAACTGATTTTTAAAGTTGGCATTCCATAGTACATTTAGACACACTGCTTCCCCTTGTAAAACCCAAGACCACCATTAAACTGACAATAATCCAACACCAAGCAGTTTCCTCCCGGCAGCTGCTATTCCAGTCTTTTGCTACTCATTAGGGACCTAAACTACATGTGCAGCAATTGCCATGCTCCCCCATTTGAATACTTCATTAACGACATTTAATGCTGTTTAATTTCTGTCCATCTTTTTTGGCCAAATGTGACAATTTTCCTGAAACAACAAAAAGTGAAGTTGATATGGTACCTGGAAGCTTAAGGGGTTAAACCATTTACAAAAAGTTTAACCCCAAAGTTGTGTAGTCTGCATGCGTACACTCTCCCAGTCTTCTTCGGGTAAAATCTGCGACCGTAATTTGGAAGCGTCGGACTGGGTACCACTGATAGACTGAAAATGTCAGCTGACACTCTCAGCCTATCACTAGCTTTCCATTCATAAAATTGAGAAAAGTACCTCTATGCCTCCAGTCTGAGGTTTCCTCTTAGAAGAGCAAAGGGACAAGTCTACACAAATTTGTGATCAAACTGTAAGCATTTTAACCCGTTAATGGACAACTGTCACCTCAAAACTATTGTTTAATGTAATGTTCCTTTTGTCAAGTTTTGGAAAGGAAATAGATTATTTTTCTAAAGCTAATATCTGGAAAAAAAATGAGAAACACTCATCCCCTGCCTTTAGTAAATTACAGGATCCTTTAGCCATATACTTGCACCTTGGGGTCGGACAGTGTTTAAAAACCAACAGTTAGTTTCTATGGTCTTCCCTGCTTCTATGCATGTAGTTGAGCAGGGATGACCAGAGAGACAAACTAAAGTATCAATCACCATGAATTGGATGGGAGGGTAGACACTATTATCTAAGAAAATATGCTGTAGTCCATTGTTGTGTCAGTAGATGCCCAAGCACTCCATACTCTGGGACTGTAAAAAAGTAGAACAGATATTCAGCATGTGAGACGCGTTGCCACTCTGGTTCATGATTATGCTACAGAAGATAACTAATAACTCTTGAAGCTGTGGCAATAGGTGTTTTATTTTATTGTGGTTGTCTTAAATCATGTCCCCACACTTGTAAGTACATAAATTGATCTGAATGAAATGGCTGCACATTTCGTAAAACTTTTTAATCATGTTCAGGGGGAATATAGCAGAGAGGGCTATATGCCAGAGTATAGTCATGATGAGAATTAGACTCAGATGGTTAATGGCCCCCAGTAACATTATAGGCAGTGGGCAGGCAGTGATATGCCGAGTGTCAGCTGACACTCTCAGCCTACCATGGACGCCAAAGGCAACAAATCTTGTGCTGTATGGCGTCTAAGGAGAGGGAAAGCAATCCGGGTGGGAGCTTGTGGACCCAGTTTTGGGTAGAATGGCCTCCAGACACTCAAGCACCCAAAAAACTTCACTGAGAGGTAGTTGTTTTGAGGGTGGTGTGTTTTTAAATAAGTTTAATTTACCTTTATCCTGCGCCTGCTAAAGCTCCTGGCGCTTTTTTCAATGTCCCTTCTTGACATCACGGCAGCCGTAAGCAGTTTAATCAGAGGCTTCTTATAGAAGCCTTTTTAGACCATTTAGCCGGCACAGAGCACATGCACGCGATTTGTTGGCATTGGCAAGGGGAGGGAGGTGGGAGGGCACTCGTTATGTCTTTTGCCAGCATGCAGTGCGCAATGACAGATGTAAGTTTACTTTCTGGGATGCCAATGTCACGTACTGCGGGTGCAACTTGCCCCTGGCGAAAAAATGCTAATTGCTCTGGATGTGCAGTGTTTCAAGCAGAGACTAGACTCCTCCTGTCATAGTGGTTGGCTTCACCCTTTAAAGTCTTAACTTTAAATCACCAACAACTTTGATGTACTGTAAACATGAGACAATCACCCACCTCTCTGTCTCATTTACATTGTTTAAACTGCAAAATTTCATTAAATTGAAAAGGCTTACTTCATGTTTTAAGCATATTAATTATGCCATTCGCTTCTAAATGCAAAATATGTATTTATTTAAATCCTGTCTGCGAGTCTTAAAACTGTAGCCCTTAGATAACTTTCTGGGTATGCGCTGTGAGGACACCTATTTCTGCTAATTGGACCACATACTGCAAAGCCTATACAACCTAACATGTTCTGGCAGGCCTATCTCATAATGTAAAAACATTTGTTTCACTTGATATAACTTGCACTTGAGGCCACAATCCTTGCAGTGTTTTTTGGCACTTTCAAATCTGATTGCTTTTTTTTTTTTTTTTTTATGTTTGGTAGAATTTCAGATTTGAGCGAAGACGCATGTAAGAAAGACATATTAATTGTATAGTGTTATTGGTTTGCACAGTGCAGTTAGTGGTCTTAATGTCCATTTACAGAAATACTTGAAGTGTGCTTTTCATTTACTTCTCTGTATTACTCTGCTAATGGTGCCAACTGCTTCTTCTTTTTTTTTTTTTTTTAACACAGCTGTAAAGATACTGACTAGATAAATAAGATGAGCAGCTGCAATAATTTATTTTATTAGCTCTTTAGATAGTTGCATTAAATGTCTCATGGACTCCCATGCAAGGAATACTAGAATTAGGGGTTTGTATGTTGGCAGTATTACTGTGATTTCTCCAACACAATGAAAGTTTAATCTTCCTATTATGCTTAAAGAAACAAAATGAAACACTGCACTTTTCATTCATAGTTAATGGGAGCAATCACTACTCTGGAATTTATACCACCGAATGAGACAATGGCAATCAACTCTAACTCTTGATAACTTTTTATGTGGTGCTCTTTCTTTTTAATGTATTTTAAAACTTTAACAATTATCGAGACAGTCTCACCCCTACTGGACTGAAGCATGGGACCTGTGGGACAAAACTAGACCGCAACAATCATATATAACACAACCCTGAAGCTGGAAACGGTACCTCCACGACAGGAGGCTGAACTCAAATGACAGACTGATACCTCACCACACTACTCCACACGGCATACACACCCATCCCAATTCCCCTCCTATCCCCTATAAACGCTATGTTGAGACATCCATAACCATATGTAACACAACAACCAGGGCCATGCTAAGCTCTGCCCAGCCAGCACGACCCCATGACGAGAAAACCCATACTACACCATTAAAAAAGATGACACTATGCACAAGACACCCTCACACCACAAGGTGCTGTTACTAAGGGATAACTACAACTGTGCAAACCCTGACAAACTACTGTATTCAAACTGCAATGCCTTATGTGATGTTAACCCACCCTATTTACTTTCTGTACCCCCACCCCTTTTTCGACAAAATAAAAATTTAACAATTAATACCACAATCAAGTTTCCCCCGCAGCACGTGACATCCAACCACCATGACCACTTCTGCTTGGTGGAAGGAGTCTGGGTGTGCAGTGTTTTTCTGCTTAAAGCATTGCACATCCAGAGTTATTTGCACTTGAGTGCTAGGGGCAAGTGACCCCATCCGTTCCTCCAACACACGTGATTGTTTGAAAAGCCTTTGATTGGACCTCTGTGCAGCACTATTCATGTCAGTCAGGGATGTGTCTAGAAGCGCCGCAAGCTTCTCCCGGCACTGGGTTAAGGTGAGTAAAGCTTATTTTAAAGAATAAAATTATGCCAATAGGACATTATTCTATCATAAGTGAAAAAGGGTTGGAGAAACCCATTAAGTTTACAAACTGGAGAAGAAACTAGAACATGTTTCTATTTTTCCTCCCTTCTTTAGTGACTTTCTATGTTGACAGTTAGTTAAAAAGGGCATAGCTTATAACTGATTAGCAGGGAGCCAAGATAGAGCTGCCTAGTCTAAGGGTAGATGTAAATACCGTGAGCTGGATATCTGCATTTAATAAAGTTCATACCACACATATGTGTTTGTTAAATTCAGATAATAAGTAAGAAAACTTACATCATTTCCATGTACCGGCGCTGGACCCGCTCCTGATGCACCTCCTTGGCTGACATAATCATAATTGATTTCCGACAATTCAATGCTTTCCAAAGGAAAGTATTGAATTGGCTCAGATCGTCACGGGGCAGGGCCAAATGCTGGCTTGGCCAATCCGCATCTCGAGCCACTGTTAGTAGATCAGATCAATTACATAGCCTTCAATTCATTTATATATTGAATTGTATATTATACAAAGAGCAAATACAATTAATAGAAGATAATTGGTTACATTCATATAATGTCAAACTGAATGAAATAAGGGGGAAGAAATCATCAGCAGGATTTTGCCATCACCTTATAAACCGTGTGTACTTCTTAGTTTTAACTTATTCTAGATGTCTTCTTATAGCCATTGATGGAAATATAGTTATAGATGTTTAAATATAATGCCCAAAGCCTTCATCGGACTTCCAAGTGGGCTGCTATTACACCACCTTCGTTGAAGGTCTCCATAGGAATACTCATGAACACCGGGTATGAATTTAACTGCAATCGAGAACTATATAGTAATTTACTGTGTTGCAATACCACACTGTTATTTGCATTTATATCTTCGTCTAGGATCAGCAGAAACCCCACTAGTATATTTTTTTTTGTATGCTGGATGTTAGAGGGTATTTAGCAGAAGCCTTAAAGGGGTAGTGCGAGTGCATCATTAGACATGCTTGTGCTACGATAATGACGCTAGGACCCTACAGAGAGCACTGAAACAGTGCTACCTGCATTGCCTGCTTGACTGACAGGCAGCCTGGTATGCATTGCCAGGCTGACCAGTCGGTTCTTTGTGCAGTTCTGCTCCCTTTCTTAGGGATTCCACCACACTGTGGAAGTGACATGATTTTGTATCACTGACCTGCCCATGAGCGTTCCACTGTTTGGGCAGAATAATATTTGAAAAAAATGCATTTTTTAAATTGTTGATACATATATAGTGAGTATCCTTGACAGGGTTTTTAAACTAAACCAAAATTGTAACTAATTCAAATCCATATGCAAAATATAGGGGGAGGGAGGAATATTTAAAAAAAAGGCTTTTTGGCTTAAGCACAATTTGGCAGGATTTTAAAAGCCTTCATGTTGCCATTTGAATTTCAATTTGCTTCAGCTTAGAATTACCCAATGATTATTCAATGTTTGTCAAGATATGCTAACTATGCTTTCAGGATTATCTATTAACATGTAAATGTACATTTAAAAAATAAAAAAACTGTAAAAGTTATTGACTTGGAGAAATTTTCCAGTTTCACTACTTTCACCTCCGAGAGAATCCGAGAGCGGGCACCCCCCAGGCAGTTGATGTATTGCACTGCCGAGACATTTTCAATCCGTAGGAGGACGCAGCAATCTGAAAGGTGGCTTGCCAGATTCCGACTTGCGAACGATCCTGTAATCAGTTTCAGGCAGTTGATGTGGAACTCTGACTCCATCTCAGACCATGGTCCCCCGTGGAGCTTGTCGCCTTTAAATTTAATTTGAAATCCCAACAGTTCATTGTTTACAGCTATTCAGTTGATGAGCCCAACTTTCCATGGAAAGAATGATTTATTTTACAATTAGATAGTTATTACATTTCATGTGTCATGAGCCAAAAAAAATGGCACAGTGTCAAAGCCTGGGCAACCCAGGAGCCAGTAGTGTTTGGTGTGAAGAACAGCTCAAATGATCATGCATCCGCTATCTATTTTACATTGTGGAGTTCTCAGACCCAGATCAACTAGATCAGATCAATGCTTAAGTTAGCCTTTTTAAGAAACATATAGACCAATATACTCTCCGTGCCACATACGAAAACCATCCCCCAGATGGGTCAACTTGTTTACATACCATTTTACCTGTAAAAATGTTAGACTGCTATTTCTCTTCAATCCTGTCCCAGCTATTATTTTCTTTTCACGGTTCCATTTTCACCACCACAAAAAGTATGCTATATGTAAGAATTTTTCTCATAAGACTAGGCCTGAATCCAGCACTTTAGTCAGGACACTCTTTTCAGGTAGGAGCAGCATCTACAGCTCCTGGTAGGAATGTTCCTGTCCATATATGTAAAAATTGGGTTGCATTCCCAAGCCTGAAATACAACTGGCATTTCAAGATTTAGTAGTCTAATTTGTCCATTATTGTATTATGTTAGTTGTAATAAATTGTAGATTATACTAGCTTTAGTGTAACTATAATCTTAATTTTATTAGTGACAGGAGGCGAATATTTGCTTAAGTCTCTCTTTACTAGAACTCCACCTCAGCACATTAACATAGAGAGAAACAACCAGTCTCTAACCTAATGCGCTCCGAAGGTCAAATTCACCCCCGCCTATGCCAACAACCATTTAATCCATCGCGCCAGAGTAGGAGACGAGACTGGTTTGTGAGGTCAATAACTGACCGGAACGAGAAGGGCGAAGGGGAGAGGTAATCGCTACATAACGAGACAGCGCCTTCGCTACACAGTTTAGGCAAGTCGCGGAAATTTGGGTAAAATATAGCAGTCAAATCCGACTTAGTACGTCTAGACACCCCGAAGGGGACCCCTTCCGAAGAGATAGAAAAGGCGTCAACATTGAAGGCCCGGACGTCTGAAACATGTCTTAAAGAAATAAGGCAAAGTAAGAGGGCAAATTTAGCCGAAAGTTGATGAAGGGAAAGGTCTTGATTATCAGGCCAATCCTGGAGGAACGACAAAACCGCTCGTACGTCCCAGAGAGAGGAATACTTAGGCATCAGAGGACGAGGTCTCATACCTCGGAGTAGTCTGCAAACCAGCAGGTACTGATCAATGGAAAGACCTCTAAGCGGTACGTGGGCTGCCAAAATCGCCAGTCTTGCTACATTAACCGAACGATACGAGCGTCCCAGGTCAAACAGGTGTGACAAAGTTCAACACGCTGGTTACAGGGCCCGTAAAGGGATTGGTATCCCGTTCCAGGCACCAATGACACCGGGAGCTCCATGCTGACAAATAGCATCTCCTAGTCCCAGAGGAGGTCCTTAGCCTACTGTGATAACGCCTCAACATTCCAGGCTCCCCTGAAAGAGTCCAGGCCAGTTGGCAGTCTATCACGAGGGGATGAAGATTGCCCCAGGAGTCCGACAGAAGCATCAGATGGGATGACTGGAGCAGTGGATCCTGATGGGACAGATCCAGGAGCTCTAGGAACCAGGCTTGACTCTGCCATAGCGGAGTCAGTAATACCAAAGACACACGTTGACGTCGAACTTGCCGCAAGACCCTTGGTATCATAGCAAATGGAGGAAACGCATAAGCTCCCTGTGACGGCCACACCTGAGCAAGCTGGATCCGGGAGCCAGCTGAAGTAGGTCGGGACCTGATAGTTCATCCGGGAGGAAAAAAGGTTGACAGTGAACAAACCCCTCCGGTCTGTGATCTCGAGGAAGATGGGACGACAGAGTCTCCAATCGCTAGAGTCCCTCGAATGTCTGGAGAACCAATCCGCCGTCAGGTTCGATTCCCCCGGCAGAAACTCCGCCTGGAGGGTGATGTTGCGTTGGAAGCAGAAGCTGTAAATCTCCTTCGTCACCTCCGAGAGAATCCGAGAGCGGGCTCCCCCCAGGCAGTTGATGTATTGCACTGCCGAGACATTGTCAATCCGTAGGAGGACGCAGCAATCTGAAAGGTGGCTTGCCAGATTCCGACTTGCGAACGATCCTGTAATCAGTTTCAGGCAGTTGATGTGGAACTCTGACTCCATCTCAGACCATGGACCCCCGTGGAGCTTGTCGCGCAGGTGGCTCCCCAATCCCAAAGACTCAGTCTGACTCTAGCACGAAATCTGGAGTCGGACTGAAGATCGCTTTGCCGTTCCAGGCAGACATGTGAAGGAGCCACCAGCGTAGTTCGGTCTTCACATCCGGAGAAATGGGAATCGCTTGGTCGTAGGAAGGTCTCTTGCTTAGGAAGCGAGCTTTCAGACGCTGCATGGCCCTGTAATGGAGGGGGCCTGGATCGAGGCATAGAGGAGACACACCTTGCGAGCCAACATCCGTAGTGGGATCCGGTCTAGACGCAGAATCCTCCTTATTTGCTTTCGAATGGTCACTATCTTGGGTAGAGAGAGACGCAGGACACATTCTCTCGCATCTTTACCACCTGATATGGAGAGAGAGCCAACTTCTCCCGGTTGACCACGAAACCCAGGTGTTCGAATAAGGAGACCGCAGAGCGCATGTGACACTTCAGTCTGGAGGACTTCTCGCAGAAGATAGGCAGATCGTCGATACAACAGACGCCTTCTGATCGGAGGCGCGCAATCACCAGTTTCAAGAGCTTGGTGAAGCACCACTGAGCCAAGCTGAGGCCGAAAGGGAGACAGGTGAACTGGCAAGATCTGCCCTTCCAGAGGAAACGGAGGAACCTGCGGCACTCTTCTACCGGGACCGAGAGGTAGGCGTCCTTCAGATCCAGTCTCGTAAACCAATCCCCAGGCTGGAGGAGGTCCCGTAGGAGATGGGGATGCCCTCCATCTTGAAATTATGGTAAACTACAAAGGTTGATCACCGGGTGCAAATCTCCAGACCTTTTCCTTACTAGAAAAATTGAGCTGAAGAAACCCTGCGTATCCTAAGCCCACTGGACCGCGCCCTTGTCGAACAGGGCCCGAATCTCTGTATCTATCAGGGACTGTTGGACCCTTTAGGAGACGGGGACCGGCGCAGGTCGAACCTGAGTCGGTGTGGGGAATGAAAATCTGAAATATCCCAGCAACGGTCTTAAGAACCCATGCGTCTGAGGATACCTCCCGCCACCTGTCCCTGCAGTGAAACAGTCTGCCCACATGCAACAGGGAGAAAGGAGAAACGGCAGGAGTTGCTCTCACCTGAAGATAGTCTTGCACGCCCTCGGGTTCGACTTCCTCTACCTCTGTCTGACCTCTGTGAGTAGAAGGACCGGGAATGGTAGGACGGGAAGAAAGATGGTCCATGGGATCCTCTGCGACCAGAAGGCCTGAAGCGGCTGGAGACTCGACCCCACTGTCATCCAGCCCTGCCAAAAACCTGTGAATTCTGTGGGCGAAAGACCCTCTTCATGGAGCTCTAGACTTTGATTCACATGCTTATGAAGCTCCTTTATGAAGGGTTCCCCGAACAAAAACACGCTCAGCCAGGGGGCCTAAATACTTCAACCCCAATTCCGACAACTTGTTGTCCATACGAAGGATCGCCTTCCTGCGTTCCGTGGAGAGTGCCACATTCGTATTGCCCAGCAGGCAAATCGAGCGCAGAGCCCTGTCCCGCATGGAGGCCAGGTCCTCCCCTTAGAGTAGGCCTCGTCCCCAAGCATGAGCATCCTTGATAGGGGGCCCAGCATGTCCAGCAGTTTGTCCTGCGCAAGACGGAGGCTGTGCTTGACCCCTTTCTTAGGATCCCGTCTGGTGCGTGTCATGTACGTGACGACCAGGGAATCTAATTCCGGGGTCGCAGCGACCTTATCCGGTAGTACCGGCCTGCGGCATTCTGCCCGAAGTTTTCTGCGGACTTCCCAATCCAGCACAAATTGTGCTAAGTGGTCGGGTAGGGACCATCCGGAGGACCTGGGGTGCTGAATGGACAGAGGTTCGAACAGGTTCGCCCGTGGCGTCCAGGAAGGCGTCGTCCACTACCGTAATCGTTGCCCCAGGCGTGGAGGCGTCTTCAGCTTCACGATGCCACTTGGGGTCCTCTCTATAATCCTCGTCCCAATAGTCTTCCTCCTCCGAGGGGTACTGGTCCGCCGCCATTCATTTAGAACGGCTACGGGTGGGAGGGGTATGGAGACATCCTCCCCCTGCCTGATGGGCAGCAGCGCCTGGCTGGTGAGGCACATAGCATCGGGCCTTGTCGCTTCGCCGGAGCCTTACCCTTCCGGGAGCGCGGTTCAGGGCCTTCACCCCTCCAATAGCGCTTCTGCGCAGTTCCCTGCTCTCTTCTATGAGAGCCTGACTCAGCCAAGTCATCTGCCGTTTGAGGGGTCCCTCTAACGCCCCACTCTGGTTGTGCTTGAGGGAGACCCCTAGCCAGGGCTTTTTCCACGGAGGCGGCCACCGCCGCATTAATCCTCGCCTGCAATTTCTGCTCTTGGGTAGAAGGTTCCATAGTCAGGGAGTCTTGGGCGATGTGACACCTAGGAGCACAGAGGACAAGTGTCACCAGCAGAAAATTGGGGCAGAACCCCATATAGTGGCAGCGGGAAGTAGGGTAGCGCATACCATGCACAAGCGTAAGCATATAGCACTAGGCCATGCGTTCAGAGGCAATGGCACAGACAAGGAAGGCCAATCAAGGGGCACAGGCAAAGCAGTCCAATCAGTGTGAGTAGATAATTGCCAGGCAGGGTAGGCCAGCAGTGAATACAGACACTGGAGGGCAGTCCAGGAGTAAGACATGCAGGAATGTGAAATCCATATATATTAAAGGATCACTAGAGAAACAGAGAAAAGGGTACAATCTGTGGCACTAAGAGGTTGCTGCTAGAACACACTAGTGGGGTCAATCACATATATCCCACAAAATCAAGAATACAGAACCACAAAAAGTGTGCAGCGCATGTGTAGAATACCCACAAATATATTTCAATTGTGCATGCACCCCAATATCAGTAGATAATAAACCTATACATAAAAAAACAGGAGAGAGGACCTCTAGCATAATACTGCTGTAATGCAGAAATCAGATGTAATAGTCTATCTGGTCCAACTCACATTTTGTAGAGCCTGTTTAGGAAGAAATTGGCTCAGGTAAAATTGCTTTAAGAGATGTTCTTGGGTATATTTCAACAGGATGAAGCTTGGTCCTCGGTATATAAGAGGCACCGGATAGGTAAACACCAGTTAGAGCAATAAACAAGTAACATTCATTCAGAAAAGTATAAAATCTTACATTCAAGTTTCTGTGATGCCATAAAAGAAAGCACAGCGCGTTTCAACGATAGTATTCATCTTCCTCAGGTGCAGTATTAAAAACAAGCTTCATACACATTTTAAAAAGCACTTTGGCGCGGGAAACAGGTACTTAGAACCGGCCCCCTTCGCCTGTGAGCCAATCAGCTCTGCAATTTTCATTATCCTCTTCAGGCTCGAGTGATGCCGTGATCGCTTCTCGCTATTTAAGGGTTCATGCGGTCCACCGCTGTCACTTCCTGGGTTTGCATGCGTTCCAAGGCTTTCACTTCCTGGTTCGCATGCGTTACACCTGTTTTATAGATGCGATCCAAGTTCATGGCAATCTGCCTATTATAATGTCTTATGTGCCTCATTGTTCATATGGCAGTCCATACATATAGGTAATCAAGGTGGCTCAGAAGGATAAAAATACATATGTGAACACAAAAAGGGACAAATGAAAGAAAAAGAATTAATCCAACATAATAAAGAGACAAATTGGACCCTAAAATAATTATTATACAAGGAATCAAAAGTAAAAAATATAAGCATCTGAAAAGCATCATATATAATTATACATATCAAAATCCATATTTAAGCCATTGGGAGAGAGGGTTTCCAATTCAAAGATCCATTTCATCTCAGTTTTATTTAAGATCTTTAAATGGTCGCCCCCTCTCCAAGGCTTTTGTATCCTCTGAATCCCCATAAAGGGCAGACATTTTGTTTCACCGTTATGTTTTTGATTAATATGTGCAGATACAGAATGGTTAAGAACTCCCTTCTGCACATTCACAGATGTTCACAAATTCTGACTTTTAAGGGTCTGGTGGTACATTCTACGTATTGTAATCCGCAATTAAGGGTTAATAAATAGATTACATTATTGGAATTACACGTAATAAATTCTTTAACAGCGAATTCCTTTTTAGTCTTTTTGGAATAAAATTTCTCTGTTTTCCTATTTACAATTTTACTAGTGTTACACGCTTTACAATTTCCACAGTTATAAAACCCTTTTAACTTCTTTCCATATACGTCTTTGTTTTTTTAGGGGATAAAACTATTGGTTAGAATATTTTTGAAATTCCTGGCACCTCTGTACACTATTCGTGGTTTATCTTCTACAAATGTAAGGAGGTCTTAGTTTTGTCTGAAGATATGCCAGTGTCTTTTGAGAATTTTATGAAAAATATTACTTTGGGAATTAAAATCACAAATAAGAGACTTGTTCTTCCTGTACTGTTTTATCTTTTCTCTTGTAAACTAAAAGGTCCTAATGATTCAATAAGCTGTAGTTGTTCTGGTGACTATAGTGTCCCTTTAAATACTAAAAGCAAGCTACAAGGGCTGGGAAAAAAAGGAAAATTTATTTTGGTAGGCAAGGGAAGATCTGCTGCTGATTGGCTGGAATGTGTCTGCTGACTGTGAGGTACAGGGTCAAAGTTTATGTTTATGTTCGCCGTCCGCGGCGAACCGTTCGGGACATCACTAACCATTCTCTGACAATCAAATGTATCTTTGATTTTTAAGATGTTTACTGGATTCTGTAGACCCTTCATCCCATTAAATTGGTTATAGTGCATGGAGTCCTCTGGTGTCCCTAAATTCAGCCATACCAAATGACACTAGCAGTGGGCGCTGTGATAGGCTGAAAGTGGTCAGCTGATACTTTCAGCCATTCATCGCCACCCATTGTTGCTCGAGCGATGCTTCCTCGTTAACTCAAGCACCACAACGGGGATGACCTAATGGACTTGTTTAGCAGTAAAACGTTAAAAATGGTTTAACACTCAGTGGAAGGATGGCACCAGGAGGCTGCAGACAATATAACCTCTTCAATGAGTTGATGCAGTTAGTGTCCCTTTAAGGATGGACATCTGACAGCCACTAAAGCGGACATCTCAGATTCTGGCTCCCCAAGATGATGCTGAACTACAAGTTCCATGATTCCTTGAAACTTGGAACCAGACAAATTTCTGATAAAAAATAATGTTTTACATTGTCTGAAAAAAAGACTGTATCTTTGCACAAAAAAACCCCTTTATTAAGATGTCCCTTAATTTATTTACATAAATTTTAAAAAGCAGAGCAGTCAGGATATAACATGTTTTAAGTCAGTGTGTTAAAATGTGTTTCCATTGTCAGATTACTGAGTGAATTATTTTGGGTCCACCTTTGCCAATTGATTACATTTCCACTATTTTGTTCTCTTCACATTTTTTTTCAGTTTAGCTTGAACATATTTTTCCATTTCACTATGACATGTGAGTGCTCACCTTGAGGTGCTTGAAATTTGTACCCAGTGTTGTTTTTATCTCCTTTGCCCTCATCTTTCAATCTGACCGCACGCTCCTTGAGTTTGTTAGTGTTCTTACAGTCACTATGCGCCCATCTCTTGCCTGAGTCACTGTGCGTGTTTGGCATCATTTATGTCTACATCCAGGGCTGGTGTTTCTGCAGTGGGAGCACAGGAAATATTGATGTTCTATCTTATTGTCTAAGGCAAAGAAAATATGCTCTTATTCTCTCAGTAATAGCCTCTGTGAAATACAGCTCTTCCACAGCCTGGCAATGATGTTACTGTGAAAGAAAGGAGCGGGTGCTCTGCACAGGATTTATTGAGCTTTGAGTGGGAGCCGGGAAATTCGTGTCACTGCTTACAGCAGCTTGTTCCGTGCCAGGTTTTGATAGAAGCCTAGTAAACTACTTGCTCGATTGCTTTGAGTATTGTCTTAAATGAACAATTTGCACTGTTAATGATAAGCTACAGATAAATATCAGGTAAACTAGATGCTTCAAGTGCTCACTACATTCTGGAAGCCACAAGTTATCGTAAAAGCAATGAATTGGGTTAGCAAATATTAAAGAATAAAACACTTTAAAAAAATTTTTATTAATTCACGGTTATGTGGCCTTACAAACCAAACATAATCGTCATACAAGTGAAAAAAAGTGAAGCGCTAAAAACATGCATTTACAATGTTCTTACCTTTATTGCAAGGCTAATACAGGGATATAGCCAAATACATGAAATAGAATAAAAACATAAAGTGTAGATGGTAATGTACATATGATCTTAAAATATGATTATGTCCACTCACATGGGACTGAGTTTGAAGATACTGGCTCAGTAAACAGCACTTCTATTCCTTTTAAGGTAGCATACCACCTCCCAATGAATAGAGTTCACAATTCAAGGGACATAGAATATAAAGAAGACTCCAATAGTGCCAAATGTACCAATTTTTTTGTCAGATATTGCTTAAACATTTTAACTCACCTTTTTTTTTTTTTTTTTTAAGAGCCTACAGATTTAAATGCCTGTTACCAATTTCAGGGCTGGCAAAGACCCAAATTACCTCTGGAACTGGAAATCACACTTTGAACATAAAGGGTGCTGGACAATTTGAAATTTATTTTACTAATAAAATGTTAACGCAATAAACCATTATATATCAAAATAAAAACAAAACTAGTAGTGCAACAAATAAAGGTCAATGTGATGTGTGCCAAAATGCGTTTCGCTCGGTTTAGCTTCCTCAAGTTCAAAGGTCCTTCAAGTTCAAATGCTGGCGCTGGGCTTCATTAAAAATCCACTGCATATCTTACCTACCTAGATTTTATTTTTTTATTATCATGTCACCCCCTCGCCAGTTTCCTAGTACTCTATGAATGCACATGAATTGTATCCCTTTTGGGCCTCCATTGTTTAAAATGATGTGAGGCACTATGGCCTTCAAATTTCTTTCTAATGTTCCAAACGTTTTCTTCTACACGTACATGTAGACAATCCTTTGTTCGTCACCTCATATTTAAAACCACATGGACATATTAAATAACTTACATTTGAGAAGTGGCATGTAAATAAGTTTTTAATATAATATTGTCATTTGCATTACTAAACTTTGTGATGTTTTTCTTTTTACTTTGTGTATTTCTGCAGGCTAGGCATGAGCCACAACCATAAAAATCTTTTTCATTATTTAGAAATGTTTTTTGTTCCTTATATGTGATTTTTAACCTGTATACTACTTAAACTATGGTCACCACTCAATATGACAAGCGTTTTTACCGATAAAAACGAATAAAGCACTGGGTCTTGTCTTAAAATATGCCATTGTTTGTTTATAATTTTGCTTCTTTGTTAATCATTTTGATTATACTTGCAGATTATGGGTACGTCATCCCCCATATCCTGTACCTGTGTTTCTTCTTATTAAGTGCCTCTTGATAACTGCCTTCAAATCCACTATATCATCTTTGCTACAAAATTTTTTTTTGTTCTTTAAATGAACTCTCATCAGTACAATTTCTCTTTATCTTTAAAACATTGGGATTTGGGCATTCCTTTCAACCAAGGGGGAAAATGGCAACTAGAATCCTGAATAAAACTGTTCACATCCAGTGCTTTAAAGTGCATACTTGATTTAATTTAGAAACCAAACAACTTAACAAGTGCACTTGTTTTGTCAAATGGATGAACTCTATTTCTGCTCTTTGTAGCAGTGGTTTGCAGCTTGACTTCCTGTCACTCTTCTTCTGGTACTGGCGCTTCAGCAAACAGAAGTCGACGTTACTCTTGCGCATGCCACTTTAACATTTTGGTTCTTAGTGTCCCTTTTATCATGTTGCTTGATCAGGTTATACATAATTTGTATTATGCAACAGCTGTATTCCCTTTATATTTTGTTTTGTATAAATAATTTGCAAATCAAGTTATTATAATCTATTTAAATATATCTGCTATACAAGCAAATCGGCTTCCTGTATTTTGGCAAACGTAACCGTTACAAATACAAATGGAAAACCAACATACCATGCTAAGAATGCATTTCTGTTGTTATGTTGACAAAGCATCTAATCATAATGTGAAAAAAAAAAGTTTTTCTTATTTATTTATTTTTTTACTTCTTCCAGACGCTGTTTATGGAGGTGAATCTGGTTGAATGTGCAGGTGATGACCCAGAGGAGGCCAGTGAGAGGTGAGATTTAGCAATGCCTCAGTTTCCCAACAAGATATCTCACTGCAAAGCAGAGGAGTTTTGTTGTGCTCCATTGATAAAGCTTGGAAGACCTGATCAGCAGACTGTCTGCTGACTTGTCTCTCTGGGAAAGTCCTGCCTTTATCAAACTGGGTTTTTTCCCACGCTGTATATTGCAGGCACCTGGCATCCAGCCATGCTTCATCTCTATGGAGCACTATGTTTTCAGTGCGATAATTTTTCATGTTACAGGTGCACATTTTTCCTTTACTTAAACAGCATGCAATATTCTTGTCACTAGGGAGGCATCTCGCTAGTTTAGAGAGGGCTTGGTGAATTTAATGTAATTGTTCCCTTTTAAAATTCATAAAATTATAGGCACAAAAGTAACTTTATTTGTTATTTAGCATTGCAGTTAAATTATAAAATCACTATCTAGTAACATAAACTGTATCTTCCTGGGACCTCATTCCAGAAGTAATATTTTCAACGCCTCCTCTTATTGAGCAAACTAAATGGTTTAAGCTGTGTCACTGGAATACAGTATTGTTCTCACATAAAGGGAGTACTGCGAATAACAATGTTTCATTGTATTTCTTATTGGCAAACAGGCATACAACTGTGATATTTAACACGTGATTTGTGCGTCTTTCTTTATTAAAAGATTGAATAATAGCTCGGCATACGTAAACATTTTGGTGCTGTGAAAGCACAGTTAAATTGCTAAAACAGGTCAGTTGCCATTTTCCTCACAAGCTATACACTGAACACAGCTGTTTACTTAATTGCTAAATTTTTACTTGGTTCGTTTGGCATACCAGTAAAAGACAGGACAATTTGGCTACAGCCACTACAACCAAAACAACGTGTGTGGCACCCCACAATGCATCCTGAAGTGGATGCTATTTGTTTCATTTGTGTAAGAACTGCCTAAAAAACACCAGGGCCGCAACATAAGGTTGCAAATTTAACGCTCAGGGAGATATACCTCCTGACACCTCCATTTACAATTAGAAATAATGCGTGGCAGGATTGCCCCCATTATTATTTACATTGACTTTTTTTTTTTACTCCATAAGGTGCCATCCTAACATTAGGAGAATGGACGGTGTAAAGTACAAATTTAGCTTATTTGCCGATAATGTGCTTTCCTTCCTCTCCTCTCAATATTCTTCCAAATTCAAACAGTCCATTCACACGTTTCCATTTTTTTCTTTTTAAAACGCTACATATGTAAAACTTTGAACAATTAATCTTAAAACGACTCTCATGGAGGAGGCGAGGCTTGAGCACTATGGCGGCCGGTCGCATTCCGAGTGAGTTCCTCTTTTAGCTCATACAAAACTCACATTTCTCAGCTACCTACACCCCTATTTCAAACCTACCAGAGACTTACCTTCCTCTAGAGTTGACCGGAACACCTTTCTAGCAAGGGGGCATTTTGCCTGTTGTTGCTCACCTCAGAAGGTACAGTGCGAACAGCGGGGGGGGGAGGCGGCCGCTGTCCTTGTCCACGAAGGCTTGTGTCCTCGCTGGGCCTCTCTGCTGCCCCGTTCCCACCCGCCTCCCATATCGGCTGCAAAGTGAGTTATCCCGGTGCCTGATGGGCCACATATCACAGTCTTGTGTGTCGTGGACATCAACCCTGAAGCAATTTAGTAAGGGGCTAGTGCTGACAAACAAGATCCTGATGACACAAGGCCTGGCCATACACCAATCTGGCCCAACGTAGCACTATAAAGAAATCGTGGACCGTGTAGATGTGGTTTTCGACCACTTCCTGGCTGTCCTTGAGAAATGGTGGAACCGTGCGGATAAAGATACCACTAGGCTGGCTGGTAAAAGGAGGGATTATGGAGTGAGGCCTAAAGTGCACCCCGCCAGCAACTCAACTATCAAGCGGATAACTGACAAGCTACCTTCATGCCCACCTGGGCCTAGAGCCAACTGGGGATCAACCCTAATGCTCCAGCCATACAAGCAGATGCGCTCAATCCATACTCAACAACACTTCAAGCCTGACAGGGCGTTCTGTCTTCCTAAGGTGAATTAAACTCAAATATAAACTAGAAGAAATAGAGGGACAAAAAAAAGATTAATTTAAAAGCAAAGCCTGCAAATGGACTGCTGCTTTAAACCTGAGCTGATAGCCCCGTTGTCTGGGACCTTAACTCTTCAGTCTATATACATGGAGAGGTAATGAGATCCTTAAAGATCTCACTCTTTCCAGTTAGTGGTCATAGTCTAACCCTGTAGCAATCCCTGATATTGTGACATCCGACTGACTCAATCATTGCGGGAGGACTTGGGGCTGACTCCTGAATTGTTTGCGTTTGTGGCAGGGAAGCATTCTCGGACACTTCAACAGACACTCATCTTGACTTATATGAAAGTGCCAGTATCTATTGAAATCTGCACTTTGTAAAATGAAAAAAGGTCAAACTCTTCACACAAACACTTCAACGAGCTGAAGTGATTTAGAGGTCTGGAATGTCTCTTTAACATTTGAAGATGGGATTACGGAGACATTGAATCTTGCAGGGCATCCCAGTCATAAGAGCATACATAGTGGACGCTTTCCACTGTAACCAGTTGCTCCATTTTGTTTTTGTTTTTTTAGAGCTACCTGTACAACATATGGTCTTTTTTTGTAACCACTTTTCAATTACACTATAGCCGGACAATTTTTATTTCACAGTTCCTTGCTGCTCCCTATGGTTTTAAAAATGGAGATATTTTAAGTGAGGTGTTAAACCAGAAACACTGGAATGAAATTTGACAAGACAGTCTAAACCTGCTGCACTCTTGTCAAGGAGAATGATTACAGGGTTGTTGAGATGTAGTACCAAAACCCTGCCTTGCAGTAAAATGCGCCCCCTATTGGACTAACTTTATCGGTAACTTAGCAAGGCGCCAGCTGACTTGCGTGTAACCAAATCCATGAACAACATAAATAAATGAGAAATATACTAGAGTTAAACTTGCTAAAATTCTTAACTATTCTTACTCTGTGCTGTGACACAAATGTGTTTATAGGGGGAAATGGTGAAAGGTGCTCCCTTCCGCAGTGCCCCAAATATAAGACCATCTTGCTGATATTATTTTCAAAGAATTCCACTAACTTACAGTACAATATGTAAGATGATGTTGATTGCAAGGGCATCTTCTTTGGTTACATCTGGAATAAACTGCATAATGTTTACACGTCTCTGTTACGATCTCCAGAATATACTGACATTTATGAATAATTCTATTATAAACTCTGCATTATGAGGTACACCTGTAAACTAGTGTTTTCCCACACTTTCATTTCCTTTACCCTCTCTTTACATTTCTATATTCTACTCCCCTTTTTTGTATGTACAATTCACACCATCCCCCAAATGCCATTCTGTTAATAATCTATTGTTATATTCCCTTAGTGTTCCATCCCTAATTGATGAAGCAAATGGGAAAAGCCCAGGTGAGCAACACGAGGACGTCCAAGCAGAAGAGCAGGAGATTACAGTTTGCCCAGGTAAAGTAGTATGTTCAGTTATACTTACTATTCCCAAAAATGTGTGTTTGGCTGTTCTTGGGTTATTTTAATGAAATAGGCAATACAGTTATTATGTTATTATGTTATTTATATAGCGCCAACAAATTCCGTGGCGTTTTACAGTGGGTGGACGAACAAACATGTAGTTGTAACCAGACAAGTTGGACACACAGGAACAGAGGGGTTGAGGGTCCTGCTCAATGAGCTTACATGCTAGAGGGAGTGGGGTAAAGTGACACAAAAGGTAGGGATATTATTAGACTAATGACAGTTGCAAGAGAGGAATCCGTTTAAACAATTAAAACATTAAATGGACAATGCAGGCTGAAAGCATCTATTTCTGACCATATCTTATTAAATGGACACTCCACTGCCAAATAAACACTATTTAGTAAACATACCCAAATGAAAACATGCATGCATTAACCGCTTAACGCCGTTACGGCGTTCTATGCTGTCCCCATTATAATGGGCTTTAAAGCCGTTGCCGCGGCATAGAACAACGCAACTGCTTTCTACCCCAGGAGCCTCCTGATACTCACCTTCCCGGCGATCCGGTTCGGGAGGACTGCCTGACAGCCCAGGCAGCCCTCCCCCTGCAAATCAGGCCCCCTGTAGCTGGCTGTGGATCATAAAAATCATTAAACATGCAAAAATAAATTTAATGTGTGTGTGTGTGTGTATATGTGTATATATATATATATGTGTGTGTGACGTCATACGTAGTGTATTTTAATGTTAATATAAATACATATATTGGTATTAAAATACACTTGAATGAATAAGATATATATTTTATATATATATATATATATATATATATATATATATATACACACACGTATAATTACAATAATAAATTAAATAATAAAATAAATTAAATTTTTTAAAATATATTTTATATTTATATATACGTATAATTAAAATAAAATATTTAAAAAATTAAAATAAATTAGATATACATATGTAATTTCATTCTAACTGTATTTTGTTATATATAATATGTGTGTGTAAGAAAATACACTTAGAATGACATTCTATATATATATCTATATATAAAATACAAATAACCGCAAATATATATATATAGTTACATGAGTATACACGTCGAATTTAAATGTGTGTGTGTGTGTGTGTATATATGTATATATATGTATATTAAAATTCTACATGTATATTTAAGTTATCTTTTAACATAATTATGTGACTTAATTAAAATACGATTGATGTGCCTGACAACCCAGGCAGAAAGTGCAGAGAATTTAATTCGCAAGCACTATATTTAACCCTGTAAATTTCCAAGACACCATAAAACCTGTACATGGGGGGGTACTGTTTTACTCGGTAGACTTCGCTGAACACAAATAAGTGGCTACTAAAAAGACTGGACATACACCACTTGCAATACCTTGGATTGTGTACTTTTGCAAATGGTATGCCATCATGGGGTTAATTCTCATTCCTGGGCTACCACACGTTCTCAAAGGTAACATTACTAATCTGGCAAATTTTAATGTGAAAAAAATGTAATGTGCTGTCTTTTGTTCTTGATCAAACCAAGTGTTTGTTTATTTGAGTATCTGCCCCTGTCCAGATTGTTTAAGATAAGATGCGTGCACGCGGAAGTAAATCACACTGAGACACAAGTTTCAGGTTAATGAAAAACTAGGAAATCAGGAATTAAAAAACTTAGAAGGGCAGCAAACCCATTATAAAGCAGAAAAGACATCATATGCAAAACATGAGATAACTGAGAGTATACATCTTTAATTGGTTAAGTGTCTTATCTAATGCACTTCCTCCAAAGTGTGATGTCTCCATCATCTCGGGATTTTGGTCGATGGGAGGGGGCATTCTAGCAGCCATTTTGAGTGAATACTGAATCAGGTATACGTGGTAAATAGACATTTTACCTAATTTCTATCCATAACAATTTGACCCTGTAACTTTCCAAAACACTGTAAAATCTGTTAATGGGGGGCACTGTACAACCCTGTGCATTTTATTGCAGTAAAAGCGAACAGTATTATGACATTTACAGCTAAAATGTCAGGCAGAACTACACATTTTTATAAAAAGTCTTAATTTCTCACCATTTAAAAAAAAATAAAAAATTGTTTTATTCATAATAATTTATGTTTCATATATGAGTAGTTCATGAGAAATGAAAGCCCTGTTTCTCCTGAACAAAATTATATATAATTAGTGTGGGTGCAATTAATATGAAAGAGGTGAATTAGTTTTGTTTACATTTTGTTTTGATCTGAACGTGTACTATTGATTTCGTCCTGAAGGGGTTAAATATACCCACAATTTTTAATTGGGGGTATATTTAAAAACAGTTTGCAAAACCTGCAGATCTCTTATCTGCAGCCTTTACAAGCCCTCCCATTCTAACCCCGCCCAGACTTTCTGTGGCTGTCCAATCACTGACTTCTCAATCAGAAGTATTTAGAAAACAGGTCCTCTTAGCAATTGCTAATTCTTAAGTTTAGCTCCACTGAGGTAAACAAACCAGGAAGTAACAAGACCATTTATCTGCTTGAAAGCCAAGAGGGTGTGACCAGGCTACATGCTTATTATTATGCTTATTATTATTATTGCCATTTATATGGCGCCAACCAATTCTGTAGGGCTTGCATACCCACTGCTCACATATTAGTATGTCTATGCTAATACGCAGGCAACCACGAGTGCGGCAGACATAAAAGTTGCCCATGTAGGACTAAACTTTCAGACACTGCCTGCAGGTTTTCCTTTTTTTTTTTTTTTTTGCTTACAGAAGCAAGGTCAATCTGAACCACTTAGATTTTACCCCGTCTCGGATAAGTAATGTATGATACTGGGTCCGCTTCACTTTGATGCACTGGTTAGTGATACTTATCCGGACTGGCATGACAATACTGTATAGCCAACAGCATCTTTATTGGGATTAAGTTCTAGCTTAAATTTTAGCCACACATATGCAGGTCGGAAGTTCTGCTGTTACATAATGCCTGCTATCACCTATATCGGAACCGCAGTGTAAAACATAATTTGCCCTGCTTTTGTAACATCCCCCTGGACAGCCGTTTAAATTCATACAGCATATATACCCCTCCATTACAACAGCGCACTTCCCTTCCCGTTCGCTTAGCAATACATGTCTCACATTATAAATACCTAACTTAAATGTGATTATCTGTGATGCCTTTAAGTAACCTTGATTTTGTATGCCCCTACATGCTGATGTATGATCTTGCTTTGTATTGCCATGTTCGGCCTCTGCGTAGGTTCAGGTTCATATGCACCTTTATGTCGCTGTTCGACTGCATTATTTGCAACTAAAATAAAAACCATTTAAAACACCCTAAAAAAAAAAAAAAATACTTTTACATCCAAGATCAAGGCTGCTGTAGTCTAACAAAGGGGTGGTGGAGCTTAAAGGGACACTATAGTCACCAAAACAACTTTAGCTTAATGAAGCAGTATTGGTGTATAGGTCATGCCCCTGCAGTTTCACTGCTCAAATTGTAACTAAAATTGATTAAGCTGTAAATTGAGCACAGTTTATTTCAGAGGATACTTTGTACTATATGGAACACATTCTGTAAAGATTATTTGTTTATTATTTCTCATTATGATGCTTACTCAATGACTACGCTAGTTTTGTTGGAGCAGATTTTGGCATCCATGCATAGATAATTAATACTTTAAAAGTTAAAGGCAACACGTGTTCTGATCTTCATATGCTTAAAGGATCACTATAGGGTTAGGAACACAAACATCTATTCCTGACCCTATAGTGAAAATCCACCATTTTGGTGGCTAGCCCCCTCAGAATGGGTTAAAATTAGGGATTATTCTAGTCCTAGTGACTGAGTAATCTAAATTTTATTAACGACAGGAGGCGAATATTTGCTTTATCTTTCTTTACTGAACCTCCCAGCAGGAAAGAAATAGTTAACAATAATGTAAAAATAATTCAACCAATCAGAGTGTATAACAGTATTATATGATGTCGTCAAACTCCTCCAATATCCTCTTTCTTGTTGTAGCCGACGATATCAGAGTATCAACCATGTAAACCGTAACTGTGAACTGTGGACCAATTCGAGGTCCTGATGTAGTCAACCATGTAAACTTTCAATGGGATTGATGAATCCATATATCACAAGTGTTGGGATTCTTCACACTAAAGGGAAGTAGAGAAAAAACCATGAGAGTATAGGTTCTCATACTAGTTGAATGCAAGTTTATGGCATGCACACTAGGAACAACAATTTCAATACATTTCATGTAAAATGATGTTGAGTATATCAAACTCTTGGTTAGTGTTGAGGTGTAAACCTATGACAGATGATGTATGAATGTGTTTGAAACAGATCGACTAGAAAAAATATGTAGTAACTTACCTTAGGGCGGGTATAAATGATAATGAAAACAAAGAAGGGAGGGAAAATATTCGCCTCCTGTCGTTAATAAAATTGAGATTATTCAGTCACTAGGGCTAGAATAATCCCTAATTTTATGGCAAGACAGGAGGCTTCATATTTGCTGTTTTAATGCTCCTATATGATAGAAGATGCAGCATGTGGCATAGGTTTGAAATAGAATGTACGAAAGGTAGACTCCCTGGACCAATCCGCAGACTACAAAATGTCTGAGAGGGAGCTCAGACATTTTGTACGAAAGGCTGAGGATGCGGCTGCTCCTCTGAATTCACTCCAAAAGAGGAGTCAATACCTGCTTGGGCTAGTATCCATCTGATCCAATGCGCGACGGTGGGAGCGGACACCGGTTTGTGTGGTTTGACATAGGACACGAGAAGGGGTCCTGTAGGGGGACGCAGAGTGGTTGTGGCATTTATATAGGGCCTTACACAGAGTGCCACGCAGGGTGACTGTCTATTTGGAAAGTAAGGGTAGAATACAGAGGAGGAATTAGTCTTTGTTCGCCTGGTGATGTGAAATTTAACGCCTTCAGACGAGAAAACTACAGCGTGGAAATCAAATGCTTGAATGTCGGAGACCCTATGGAAGGATACCAGACATAGGAGTAAGGCCAGTTTGGCAGAGAGTTGACGTAATGTCAAATTCTCGTTAGAGGGCCAGGATTTAGGCCAGAGCACAGGTAACGTTTTCTTTGTTTTTACTATATATTTTAAGCTGTTGGATACTAAGCCACTGCTGCTGTAAGCGTGGTGCTTTATCTTTGTGTTTTGTATATGAATTTTGTATCACTCAGCTATGTTACATTGCTGCCAGCCTTCCCACGTTTGTCTTATTAAGACTTTATAAGTATGTAGGGGCAGCACCCCTTCCTGTCTCATCAGAGAAATTTGCCTTTTAGCTGATACCAGCAAGGTGATTTGTATGTTATAGCCCTATACAGGGTAAAGTATGTAGGGGTTTATAAAACACCCTTTCATGTCTCATTAGAGACGTCTATACTTTGTCTGATACCAGCAAAGATCGTCTAGTGCCTGGGGCCCAGGAATCCCATAGGAGAGCCTGAGCTGTCTCCGAAAGTCCCGAGACATTCCAGCATCCCCTGAAAAGGTCCAAGCTACAAGCTGGAGCCGCCTTTGAAGGGCGAGTGGGTGACAGTGCCCTGCTGGATTCCTGAGGATGTCGGGGAATCGGGGTAGTAGAATTGGACAATTCACAGACAGTTCTAGCAGGGTTGGAAACCAAGTCTGGGCTATCCATAGCAGAGTGACAATAACTATCGTCACTGCTAAGGCTTTGATCCGGTAAAGGGTGCGCTGGATCATGGAGAAAGGCGGGAATGCATAAGCTCCTGTCTCCGGCCAAGGGTGTAGAAAGGCATCGACTGCCCAGAACTGGGGGTCTGGGAGTCAGCTGATAAAGGCCTCTATCTGGCGATTCAGCCGAGACGCAAACAAGTCCAGTGCGAGGGGCCCGCGAAGACAATGAATTTGATAGAACAAGCGGGGATCCAATTGCCAGTCACTTACGTCCCTCCAATGGTGAGAGAACCAATCTGCGACTAGTTTGTCCGTGCCCGAAAGGTATTCTGCTCTGATGGATACATTCCGCTCTAGGCAGAATTGGTAGAGTTCCATGGTAAGGTCGGACAGTAATTTGGATCGGGAACCTCCTAACCGATTCACATAATGCACTGCAGAGACGTTGTCCATGCGCAGTACGAGTGAACAATTGAAACAATCTTTTGCGAAACTACGAATCGCAAAAGATCCTGCAATCAATTCTAGACAATTGATGTGCATTGCTTGTTCAGAGGGGGACCATAGTCCCCAGGTGGACCTTGCGGCGCCCCACCCCCAAGGGACTGGCATCGGATTCCAGAACAAAGTCTGGTTGTGATCCGAAAATGGCATTGCCATTCTAGCTTCCATGTTGCGAAGCCACCAGTGAAGTTCTATACAGACTTCGTCTGTTAGGTAGATAAATTGGTCGTAGGAGGTGGACCGGTTTAGATAGAAGGTCTTGAGCCGTTGCATGGCTTGGTAGGGGTCCCGGATAAATGACTTGGATAGAGGCAGACAGTAGGCCTATGATATGATCCAGATCGCGTAGGCGAATCTGGTGGGCTGATAGCAATTTGCGAATATCTTTCTTTATAGCCTTGACCTTTGTAGAAGATAGTTGTAAAATTGCCTGTACAGTGTCTATTAAGAATCTGAGAAACTGAACCTTCTGAGAAGGTTCCAGGTCCGATTTCTGAAAGTTGATTACAAACCCTAGGTTTTGTAATAAGGCCTTCGTCATATCCGTGTGTTGACATAAAAGATCTGGATCTTGAGCCATTATCAGGATGTTGTCCAAATATACAATGGCACTAATCCCCCGTGATCGGAGTGGCACCATCACTGGTTTCATCAGCTTTGTGAAACACCATGGTGCGGAACAAAGACAGAACGGGAGGCATGTGAACTGCCAAATTTCTTCTTGCCAGAGGAATTGAAGAAAAGCCTGATGGTTGCGGGCAACCGGGACAGTGAGATATGCGTCCTTGAGATTGAATCTGGAGAACCAGCCTCCCACGCAAAGGAAGTTCCCTGAGAAGATGGATGCCCTCCATTTTGAAATGACAATATCTGACATAGTGATTCAGGTCTTTCAAATTGATTATTGGACGCAGGTCTCCAGATTTTTTGTGGACCCGAAAAATATTGCTTAGAAAAGTATGTGGGAAGGGAGATCTTTCTATCGCCCCTTTTTCCACCAGTTTATTCAATTCTGTGTGTAATGCCAGGTTGTCTGTTGCAGACATCCAAAATGGTGTAGGTGGTGCTTCCTGGAAGGGAGTGGAAAGGAAATCTATTTTGAACTCCTTGGCTGTGTGTAGGATCCATAGATCCTGTGAAAGCAGTTCCCACTTTCGGAAGAAATGGGTTAGTCGACCTGCTAGAGGTACATTGAAAAAAAGGAAGGTTTATTACCTGGAGCAGTGCATCCACGTAAGGAGGCAGATCCTCTATTGGGGAATAACTGCCGGTGGTAGAGTCGGGGGGGTCCTGAGTTCCAGTAGTTTTGAGGGACCAGGCCTGTATCCTGTGAAGGCAACTCTGCTGTTCGTTCGGCCTCTATAACATCCAGCTCTCCCAGAAAAACGACCTGACTGGAAGCGAAATACCCTGCGTAGGGAGGATTGGGCCTTGTTTAAGGTAGTAAATACCACTACATGTTTTGGACAGATCTCTCATGAAAGAGTCCCCAAATAACAAGCCATCGGCTTCTGGTCCCAGTTCTCGTGAGCTTAAGTCTACTAATTTAGCATCAAGTTTAAATAGTGCCGCCCCACGTCTCTCAGTGGATATAGCCACATTTGCATTGCCCAGGAAGCATAGGGCTCTTTGGGGGTCAAACTCCCCACTAGTTATAGCTTCGTCAGCTAGGATGAAAATTTGGATGATGCGACCAACGATATCCAGGAGTTTGTCCTGGGCTGTCTTAAGACCCTGCTTAATATCCTTGCGAGGGTCTTTCCCTGTTTTAGTGAGGAAGGTTACAAATAGCAGGTCAAATTCTGGCGTGAGAGCCACTTTACTTGGTATAGTTGGCCGAGGACATTCGGCTGTGAGTTTAGCCCTTTCTTTTCAAGTGGCTTACGCAGCCACATCTTGCAAAATTTAGAGATGTGGTCGGGTGGGGCCCATTCAGCCGAACGTGGGTGTCTGATGAACCTTGGGTCGAAAAAAAGGAACACCCGAGGCATCCAGAAGGGTGTCTGAATCGGGTCCTTTGGTTATAGAAATATTGGTATCTGGGTCTTTTTTTGCAATGAAAGTTTCCTTGACAAATTCTGATGTAGAATTCCCTAGCGCATTCGCAGAGGGCTCCTCATCAGAATAGCCGAGGTAATAGTCCTCAACCCCATCGCCCGTGTTGAATGTAGAACCCTCTAAAGGGTCGAAGGTAGCTTGGACGGGGCGAGTGACAGACAATTTTTGGGACTTGGCAGGAGCCTCGCCCTTGCCCGCAGAGATACTCTCCCCTTTCCAAGGGCGTTTACGTGTGATCTCTTGATCTAAAGGGTTGGGAATCCTCTGAATCAGAGGGTAGACCTATATTAGGATTGACTTTGGTTGAAGTCTTTTCATGGAAGGCTGCTAACGCCTTGGGGATAGATTCGGTAATGGTTGAGACGAGCCAGGATCTAAGCTCTTGAGAGATTATCTCAGTATTATCAGACATGGTCGGTCTATTAATTGTGAGCTGAGAGTAGTCAACCAAGGGAAGTATTGAGTGGGGTTCACCCAGCAGTATTTAGTAAATTAGAAATGGGGGTCACCCAAAAGGTGTTTTGATTTAATTTGCAAGGGTGGCACACAAGTATTCAGTGGGTTTACCACTATTCAAATAACAAGTGGGGTTAGCCACTTAATTCAAACAGACACTGGTTGTGTCAACAATTATTAGAAAATCAATTGAGGGGTCACCTAAGTAATGTAAAGTGGGCGCCACCCACTCAAGTAGTGTGTTAAAAACACTTTAATAAATTGAATAGTACCAATAATTCAAAGGTGGGGGTCAGCCACAACAATCAATACAATTTCAAACCACGAAAAATAGTGGGGATCACCCACAAGGCCCTCCT